CTACGGGACTTACGGGACTCTACGGGACTCTACGGGACTCTACGGGACTCTACGGGACTCTACGGCACTCTATGGGACTCTAAGGGCACTTTACGGGACTCTACGGGACTCTACGGGACTCTACGGGACTCTACGTGACTCTACGGGACACTACGGGACTCTACGGGACTCTACGGGACACAACGGGACTCTACGGGACTCTACGTGACTCTACGGGACTCTACGCGACTCTACGGGCACTCTATCCAGTCTCTCCCAACTCATCACTCGGCAGGATCGTGCGATTGTGGCGGGCCCGAGACAAAGTCCGGCCATCGACCACCAGGGGCGTTGCGCGCGACGAGCGTGATGCGTTCAGGACGGGGCAAACTGCGTTACCCACGTGCGCATTACTGTACTTACCTCGAACGAAAAGGCGACAACGTCGTAAAATGTTTTAGAAACGGTTGAAAATCGAGGAGAAAACTATGTGACCAATTCTAGAGCGCTCGTGGAAATCCGCTCCTTTTTCTGTGATAATAAAGCAATAACTAGAGATAAAGTGGTGAAATATATTCGACAATCCCCAAACGATCGCATCCTGTGCTGCCCTCTGGTTTCGTACGTTAGCTTTCACGGTTTTTTGCCTCCAAGTGCGCGAACCCCTACCAGAAATTCGATGCGCCGCACTTGAGGGTTAAAAACGGTAAAAGCTAACGTACGAGACCAGAGGGCTGCACAAGATACGATCACGGAACCTTGCCCCACCCTGCCCAACCCTACCCGTGAGCTATCTCCAGCAATCTCACAGCTCATCTCTGTGTAAACGCTACTGACCTTAAAACTGATCGGTCAAACGGAATTAGAATAATTTTGTATGAAGTCTTTGTTGTGTTCCTTTTACATACTCCAATTGACATTATTATTATCATAGATTTTTACATTTCAGTTATATCTAGATCTCTTATGTGTCCATAACCTTTGATTTGAAACTGCAGGAATGTAGTAAAATGAATTTCAAAATTCTAAGTATGGTATTATTAACTTGTGAGGACAGTAGGAAAGAAATAGAAGAAACCAATGAATGGAGACGAATGCTGAAGGAGGAAGAATTCTCGCCAACAAGTGAAATTATATTGAAAGCATTGAATAATTCATTGACAGAGTTACTTTGCCAAAAGGTATCGATCGAAGCATATCAGCGATACTCTGTCAGAACTCAAATCATCGTATGTGCTTTTTATTATTGTTTGGATAATTCATACCCTCAAATAACCATGATATGTATTGAAATTCTAATGCTGTATAGAAATAAATTTAACATTTCTTAGGGTGTCGTTCGGGAATGGAGTCAAGGTATTTCTTCTCTTGTACCATTGCGAACATTCCAGGATGGAGGTAAGACATTGAAATTCGTCAATATTGTTTTGGAGAAATATCTGGATAAAGATATTTTGGATGCTGCAACCTCTCCAAGGACCCTCTTGCTTCTGGCTCGTACGATCCATTGTTTGATTCCAAAACTTCCCAATTTAGGGGCATATTTTGAAAAAGTAGTAAACAGACTTATCGCTCTGGAACCTACAGAAGAGGGGGACCATTTTCTATGTTCGATCGTCAATGAAAACCAGTATTTTAAATCGAGTTCATCTACAAATGAGAAAATATATATCTCACAGAGGATAAAACTCATCGAAACACCTCTACTTGAAACTTTCATATCGATATGTTCAAAGTCGTACACAAGTAACAAACACCAGGTTTTGGTCGATGCGGTACGATCCCTCGATAAGCTAGCCCAGATCATGACAAAATTCCCCCTGTTATTTCAAATAGCTTGTAGCTATATGAAGGAAATACTCGAACAACTCAAGTTTAAAGATCTAGTATTGCACATTATTCAATGCGTTATAGAGTTGGTAAGGTCCCACTGCAAAATTAGTTACAAGAATATTCTGGATCTTTATCCAAAGAGTTTGCAAACTTATGTTATATTACTGCAAATAGAGCCAGAGAAACATTCGATCAATTCGAGACGGTACACGCTACACGAGCTGAAGAAGATCTTCCTGAAGAACTCAAACGACGTAATGATTCTTTTATCGCATTATCCATCCTGGCTACGTCATGTAACGGAGCACCTTCGGCAACATGAATTGATTCAGTGAACGATGCGCCGAGAGTCGTTGCGACTTTTCTATTTCTAGAAGACCAACGTACCCGAGATTATATCTTAAATATATTTTGATATCTCTTTGTGACGTTAAAAATAGTAGCACTACAGTTTTGGAGCAAAACAATAGAAACAAGACGCGAGCCGATACCAAAGAGAAACATCTTTATTAAATCGCGCCAAGTGCAGAGCGCGATTTCAATGATTTCCGCAATGGGATACAGTTAATCGAATGAACGCGACGGTGGCTCGCTCGTCGACTTGCGGAAGGAAATGCCGCCGACCTTTGAAGTAACCTTCCCGAAGAATGAGATCTAGGAGAAATTGTTGTTTAAATCGACCGGAGACGACTGATAAAGCGGTAAGGAAAATCGGGCAGGGCCTCGCGCGTCACGGTGACCCGACGATGCCTCGAACGGTAGTTCCGATATGGAAAGGAAGAGTCACTGATTTATTGCATCTCGAAGGAAGCAAAGAGGAGTCACGGGAGATCGCTCGCCCTACGAGAAGCCAGGTGGAAAGCACGTAGAACGGTAGAAAATCTTAGAAAACGAAATGCTCTGTTACCTTGTAAAACTGTTACATTTAACATCGAGGCGATCGATCTAATTTTTCCTTGGATCTCGTTCGTTACCTGTTTCTTTTATATTTCCTCTTAATCTTGCGTATATCTTTTCGTCTTTCGCTCAGTTAGCGTCTCATTCTCTCTCCCTCTCTCTCGCATTCGCTCTTTTTCGACGCGTTATACTTCTGCGATGACGAATTTTTTTTTTTCCTCAAACGGAACAAAGCGCGACAACGATACTTGCTTCGAGATTTCTTTCCGCGTTCTTTTCATTTTCTTTCGTTTAACTATCTAAGTCTCTCTCTATATATATAACACCACTTGTCGCCATTTCCCCTGCCTCTCCGTTATGAACACACACACACACACACACTATTTCTATTATTATCATTTTCGCTTTCTCTCCTCACCTCAGATTCCGGCACAAACCCGTCCCTCCTACCGCTTCGGAAACGACGCGACTACGGACCGCCAATGCTTCAAAGGGATTTCCGCCGCGGAGGACACTGGAGAAATTGCCGCGATTCCAACAATCGCATTAAACGATGTCATCGATAAACGTCGATGTATTTAAGTAAAGGACGTAACGAGAATTTCTTTACAGATTGTCATCTAACACGTAATGGGTGTGCAGGTGTCGTCCGCGCGTTATATTATTATTACAAAGATTAATATGACTCGTAAAGGTAGGCTCGCTGTGTCGACCTTTAAAATTATATCGTAAACGATTGAAAAATAAAACTGACGTGTCCGTGTGTATGTGTGTGCGTGTGTTTCCAATGACCGCAATCCTTCGTTCATCGTGGCGTAAACGTTGACTTGGGAATAACATTAAATAATCGGTTAACTATATCCTCAACGCGACAATATATTAACGATATAAAGGATAGAATAAACAATGGCAGGGTATTAAAAAAAAGCGTTTAACAATTTGTCTAGTGTCCTCCTTATGAGCTACCGTCGATATTTGACGAGTCGAGCGCGAGAGAGCGCAAAATTGCTGGCAAACCTTAAATGACGTCACTCTTAAAAGAAATAAGTGCAAGACATCGCGCAACCTCGCGTGCTCGTTAAACGATCGCTAACCCTTTCAGGCCATAGGTGACGAGAAACGATGGAAAATCTCTCCAAATTGCTGAAACTGTGGAAAAAGAACTCTCCTTTTCCTTGTACGAATCATTTGAGATCTGAACCGCACGGAGGACCGAAAGGGTTGAAGGATTCGTTTTACATTTGAAAACCATGCCGTACTTACATCCGAACGACGCAATCGTTTTCTCGGGGCAGGCGCGGATTCGATATCGAAAATCTTCTGCAACGATTCTCTACCCTTCGCTTTTTCTTCGTCGAGACCTTTGCGTCCATAACCGGAACTCTAGTCTCGATCGAGATACAACGATCCGCCATTCCCTATCGGTCGAACGAGTTCGAAAATGGCGACGGGTCGCGTCTCCGATACCGTTGCCTCTTTTCCTCTCGAGCCTAACCCCGAAACGTACGCCGTTGGACCGTGCGACATGGAGAGATTTCACGTTGACAAATTTTACATCGATATAGTCGAACGCAAATTCCGCATTTGAATAAAACGTGAACGTTCCCCGGAAACCTGCTGCGTGGTCGGTCCAACGAAACGGGACTGCTGGCGAATAATAATAATAATAATAACGATAATAATAGTTATAATAACCGTAACGTAGAAGTAATAGTAGTAGAAATTGCAACAGCGACGACAACAGCAGCAGCGGTAGCAGCAGCAGCAGCAGCAGCGGTATCGGCAGCAGCAATAATAGTAATAGTAGTAGTAATGATAATAATGATGATAATGATAATAATCGCAGCGGCAATAACGGCGCGAGCCAAACTACCGGTGCAAGGATCTCCACGAAAATGGGTCGTCTTTCCCTCCTTCTTTCGGCATTTCCCCCGACTCTCGCGAAACGCGTGCTCGTGCAAGGCACGGCTACGGATGGATTCGACGGAGGACCGGCCAACGAAACACCCGAGCGTTCCCCTTCGGACACCGTAACTGATAACTCGAGGGACCACCAGTGGTCATAGAGACGGGGTCGAACCGCGTCGTCGTGCATGCGCACGAGGATGTCCGTCGATTTTGTACGGTGTGGTGTACGAACGCGACGATTAAATCGTTACTTCGATAGTGCTTTCTTTTGCTAGACACGATTCAACATATAGAAAGTTTATCGTTATTATTTAATAATTATTAATAATAATTTATAATTATTATCTTAAAGCTGTCTAAGGACTCGCTGCGTGGCAGGAGCGCGCGCGCGCGCGCGCGTGTGTGTGTGTGTGTGTGGTCCGTGGCTATCCGGTATTTCACAGGATGTGTCGATAGCTACTATGCTCTCTCGCTCGCGTTCCCGCGAAATCCGCCGCGTTCTGCTTCGCCGAGTTCGCTTCATTTTTACGCCCAATTTCTTATTTAATCCTATGTTTGAAATTTTTTCCCTTGCCACTGGCGTCGCACCAAGTGGACGGTGGTCTTCCAAGGTGGGCGAGAATAATGCGGAAAAATCGCATCTCGTGGCGCACGAGTAATTCGGCGTTGCTGACGTACGGCGGAAATAATTGCAAACGATAACGCGCGTACGACGTTCGGAATTGGCCGATGTTAACGCGGATCTTCGTCGGATCTACCGCAACGGTTATTTGGCCATTCCTCCCTCGCGTAGCAGGAAACGATGTCGATACATCGATCGATCGCGCGTCTTTGCGAGTGCACGTCCGTGTATACAACACCGTGTGTACACCTTAAATATCTACTACTTCATGATTCTTTGTCAATTTTAATTTGTATAGATCACAATGTCAGACCACCCACGCCAACGAACGATTCTCATTTCTTCACATTCCCTATCGAAAACGTTCTCTCTCTCTCTCTCTCTCTCCCTCCCTTGTCACCCTCTCGCCCGCAACTTTCGTTCGAATGACCCGAAATTACCTACGCGCGGTCGAATTCACGTTTTCCCTTCGTTCCGATTTCAAACATCCCAGCGAGATTGTACCGTGCACTACCTTCGACGTGGCGTCGTTGGAAATAAACGAGTCACGCCCTGGCCGTCTACGTATGCGTTACGCGAGGAGATCAGGCGGTAACGAAGGGTTGTTGTACCATGCGACGAATTATACAAATGAATAATTTCAAGGAAAACATCTCAAACGTTTAGAAACGTGCGATTAAGATGCTCTAGAAATTTCCCGTCGTTTCGTCGACGGAACGATCAAGAGCTTTTTAACCGGGCGACGGATCGTTCAACGAAACGAGATCTCGTCCAGAAAATCATTTTCTCGAACGAAAAAATAAAAAACGACAAGCGTTAACGAATAATTTCTTTCAAACGTAATTAATGGGTCTAACTCGTACATATAGACGATGGAGTAATTAAAAATATTGTCGGGCTATCTAGAAATAGACGTCGGATGTACGAAACGTCCAACTTAACCGTTTCAACGCCGTGCTCGCCGCATGTCCTGTTCGCTCAAGAACCGACCGTACAATTTGACACATTACCGACGGAACCCCACCGAGTCTACGGAATTCACGGGAACGAATCCCCGATGGACATTCGAGGGAGTCGAAAGAGGCGGCGTCGTCAAAGTGTCGATTTCTAACAATTTTCATTAACCGCGTTCGGATCAAGGCTTGGACTTCCGAATTACAGGATAAACACATTCATTGAGAAAAGGTCATATTTAATATCTCCATTCTGCTCGACGAACATAATTACGTGTTTCTCTTATACCTGCATAGCCACCCCTTTAAGCATCCCCGTCAAACGGTCTTCCAACCGAGCGTTAAATCGACCTAAAACCAGCAAATGGCGACAGATGCGGAATTCCTGTTAAAAAAGCTCGCGCAAAACCTCCTTTACCCAGTGTTTCCTCCTTCGCAAAAATTTCAACTAAGCGATAACCATTGCCAAAAAAAAAAAAAACAAACCGCGACCTTAAACCAATACACAACGAACAAACAAATCCCTAATCTATACTTATACAGCCTCCGAGATATCCATCGGGCCCTCCAACTATTTCGGCGATTTTACTCACCGAGCTAAGATATATACGAGTATGAATATATCTTAAATACATATAAATGCACGTAGCGTTTACAAAGACCCCTCCCGACAGGTTGCGCAAACATTTTTAACAGTTTCGCTCCCTCGCGTGTACGCAACACGCATTACGTATCAAGAACGTGGTCGGTTCTCGTAGCTTCTCGTCCTAAGAAAGAAGCGAGGCTCATTCCGGAATCCGCACGGATCGCTCCCTCCCACGCTCTCTCGCGTTCTACCGTTGACTCATTCTACGTGACCCAAGCTGCATTCAGACCAGCCGAAAGTCGTTGGATTTGGACGAAAAGAACAAGAGTACCGAGAAATTACGACCGGGACCAAAGATTTCAACGTAACGTTGAGGGGCGCCGTCTGGATATTATCTACAATTTAAAGCGGGATACGAACGCTAGGCGTCAACGCTCATATATATATATATATATATGTTTGTTTTTTCAATTTTCTTATATTATATAGAAATTTGTCCCCTCGAGAAACGCGTCCCGCGAGCGAAGAACTGGTCGACACGCGCGCGTCATCCACGATCGGTTATATTTTATACCGCTCGACTTTCTCCCTGACGCTATTTTTTTCTCTATCTATTCTTCCTTTACTGTTTTTTTCTCTACTCCCCCTGGCCCTTCCTCCTCGTTTACCGAATGATTCCTGACTTTGCATCGGCGCGAAATGACGAGGCGTCGTTTGTCGCTTCGAGCGGGAAGGCTCGTCGGAAGGGCTGGGAGTTCTCGACTCAGGAATTTGCGAAAGTACTCGTCATTTTAAAGGTGGCCGGACGAAAACGGTCGCGATCCTTCGAGGAGCCGATCCGTGGGAGGAGGCGAGCCGTTCGCGGGCCGTCCTCGGGCGACGATCTCGAGTCCGTCCCGTAATCGGTCGACGATAATCGGCACGGCGTTGCAAAATGAAAGCATAACAAGGACTTCCTCCTTTCCTCTCTCCCCCACTCTCGTTGCTCGTCCGTTGTTTCGTCTCCGGGGTCAGGCCCCTGCGTACCTCGCCCGCGACATGCTACTCGAACCTGGACTTCTGTCTTAACCGTCACCGCGAATACCCCTCGAGCCACGGTCGAGAGACGCGACGTCCCTTGGTCTCCTGGCCCTGGCGCGCGAGGCTCGATTCTCCCGTTCCAAGTCGTTCGTCATTTCGTCTATCCCTTTCCGTACCCGCGGAGATCGGGGCCCAGGCGACTGTCGGGGTCGCTCTCGAGGGGGACTTCGACGGCCGTCTGGGCTCGCGGGCATTGGCATTTCGTTACAATTATACAGTTATATAGATTCTATATAAATACCTAATATGCATTCGTATAATACATACCTAATATGCAATTGTGTTAGAAGTCGGTCATCGCTTGGGACGTAACGCAATTTAGGTACGCGCTCACACCGTTTCGCGCCGCGTCAAATCGTAAGTGGGAGTTGGACTCGTTTTTTACGTCCAGGCAGTTATACGTCTCTCTCTCGTTTTTCATGCGCACCGATTCGCTCGCTGTCCTCGTTCGGCTTCCCCCGCGAAAAATGATCCCTATCTAATCGTGCCGTTTGATGGCGCGCTTCTCCTCGTCCTATCGTCTCGATCGTTCCCATTCGTTCCGCCGAAAGGAACCCTCCGGTGAAACGCGGCAAAAAAAAGAAAATATGCAATACCTGCAATACTTCCAGCGACCGTTGACCAGGTATGTCGGTAATATTGACGCTTTGAAAAAAAACAAAAAGAACCATCACTGTCGGTGTCGCGTCCTCCTCCCGCCGTCTCGCACGGACGCACTCCCATCCGCCCTCTGTCGCTCGGTCTTGCCGACTGGCTCGGTGTTCTCGTCGGTGGTCGGACGCGGGCTCGGAGGGGCGAGCACGCCCGCGCATCGCCATCCACGGCCGCACGATTCGGTCGAACGAAACGTAACATAATTAACGTTATATACTATACATATTATATAGATTCGTATCCGGCTAGCGATCTCTTCCTCCTAGGGTTTATATATTATTTTTTTTTGTTTCGTTATTATTTTAATAGAGACGCGTGTGTCGTTCGGTTCGTTTAAACGAGCGCATGGTATCCCTACACCGGGCCGAATGGCAGATCGCGAGGAAACGCGACGCCTCCCACCTCGGCTTCCACGATTCCTCGCTTCTCCTTCCGAGGCTCTGATATGGAAAGCTACGTCCCTCCGTTATTTCGGAGCCGTTCGTTCCCTTCGATGTTACGTCTGCACGGCGACCCGAGTTCCCTCCTCTTCTTCCAGTCCGACGTCCGTTTTTCGGCACTTTCGACGCACTCTCGACGCACTCTCGACGCACTTTCGACGCACTTTCGACGCACTTGCGACGCACTTTCGGGTTTTCTAATACGCGAGCACCGATCTCACCTTGCGATTCGCCCATCCGGGCACTATGTCGCTTCGACTTGCACTCTTGCGCAATTTACTTTCAGCCCCTCCGCTCACCTCTTCTCTCGCGTCCATTGTGCATCTTCGATTCCGAACTCTGTCTTCGTTTCCATAAGGAACCGACCTTCTTCTCGTTGCGTTTATTCTCGCCGATCTCCCAGAACGCGTTACCGCCCGCTCCCAAAGGGCGTCTTCGCGAGAACCAACATCGAGGTCGTGCTACCTTTTTCTGGACGTTTCTCTCCTCCTCCCTGTCGAAAGGTCCGCCATCTTGGCAATCTGTCGTTATCGATTTAGTCGGAACTTTCCCCCGACTTTTAACGCGTGAAAACGCAATATCGGCTTTGATCGTAATGGAAATATCCTGTCTCGCGCTGCGGGTTTGATTCGAAAATCTCACGATTCGCCAGGAATCGAGGAGCCGGACGCGAACGCGAACGCCCGGTCGAAGAAAATCGGGGAAGAGAAACGGGGCAAAGGTGGCGATCCTTCCCTCGAGGAATAGGAAACGCTTTCCGATAACGGACTGACGGAGTGAAAATATTGCGGGGGTAGTTTCGGCACGGAATCCTCTTGGCTGGTGCAGCGCGCGCGACGCCCTCGCGTGGTCGCGTCGAACGACGACGGCGTCCGACCACGTACCGCGCTCGCACGTAGGTACGAACGCCCCCGAGCGTCGGATTTCTCGCATCGCTCCGGCGAATACACGCGTCCGAATATCCTATCTCCCTTTCTCCCCCCCTTTAATCCCCCATCCCTCCCTCCCTNATAATATACATATATCTATATACCCCGGGAAGTGAACGGTGGTACTTCGAACGTTAGTCGGTGTGGAAACTCGCTACATTCGTCTATTCGACGTCGGTCGAAGCTCGCGGCCATCCCTCCTCGTGGGTCGACCCGAACGATACATGCATACATACCCCGATATGTATATATACGTATAAATATATACACACTCACGGATACATCGGTACGTCGAAACGCAAATGTGCAGACATGCGAGCATCCGCGTATATGCATCTATCGTCCTCGGTCGGGCCCCGGTCGGGCTCCGGTCGGGCTCCGGTCGGGCTCCGGTCGGGCTCCGGTCGGGCTCCGGTCGGGCCCGAGGACGGGCGCGAGGCCTCGGCGGGCCCCGGGCCCGATCAGCTGCCGGCCCGACGAGGCCTCCGGTGGCCCCGTCGATGGAGACGGCGACGGCGATGGCATAGACTCCGACGAGTTCCTTTAGTTCGCTTAACGACTTGAAAACGAGTTACGGTTAGAATTCCAATGTTCGAGTTAAGTTAAAGCCTTTTTCACTTGATTAGAGGAGAGTCTAGGTTCGGGTTGGGGTTAGGCTGCTGCGAGGTCGAGGACGGCGACGGTACCTGCGCCACCACCGAGCCCTTCCCGTCGGCGAGGACGCCGCCCGGCTGGCCGGCGCCGCTCCCGCTCCCGCTGCCGCTCCCACTCCCGCTCCCCATCCCGCTCCCGATTCCGCTCCCGATTCCGCTCCCGATTCCGCTCCCGATTCCGCTCCCGATCCCGACCCCGCCGGCACCGCCCTCCTTCATCTTGTCGCAGTAGTCCGCGAAGATGTCGCGGAACCGCGCCCAGGACTTCTCCGGCACGGTGATGGCCGTCCTGAAGTTCGTCTTCACCTGAAACGGCGACGAGCGGTCGTCAGTTACCGAGCGCGTCCCGCGGGACCCGGGCAGCCCCGGCACCTACCTCCGAAATTCTCATGTAGATGCCGCGGTTGTTCTGCCCGATGTCGAAGTAGAAGTTCTTGTTGTCGACTCGCATGTAGCGCCCTTCGGGTAGGTCGCCCTTGAAGCCGCCATCGTCGGTGCCGAACTCTTCGAGGAGGTCGGTCAGGGCGTCGCGGAACTCGATCATGCCCTGGGCCGGTATCGCGATCTGCGATCTGGGCCCTCCTCGGGTTATCGTTTGCGAGACCTGGAAACGTACAACGGGTCCGCGTCACCTCTCTCACTCTCTCTCCTCCGCACCGCCATCCGCGACATGTTACGTCCCCGAGCGAAAAGCTACTTTTTAACCGGTCGTACTATCCGCTGCGAGAACATTTCTAAGCATGAAAATCTGAGGAGAGCCGAACGAGAGGACTCGCGAAAGTGACGCGGATCGGCCTCAAACTCGACAACTTATGATTCATTCGCGGGGCTTACAGGCTAGAAAAACGCGTCACCCCCGTCGGACCGACGCGGGTGTTCCTTATCTCGAATGAATCTCCAGTCCATTCATGCGACTACGGTTTCTTCGGTGACTCACGCTTCCGGGACACCGTTCGATCGCTGCTCGTTGCCGTTTCTAGTCGTGGCTTACGAATGACAACTATTAATATCTATAAATCGGCATCGGAACGCCCCTGGACTTTCTCAACGAATGGTCGGTGCTCCACGGTTTTCGCGCATGCCTTGACCTAAGAAAATGACGAGGTCCTTCGTTTTTCTTCTTTTCCCCGAGGCACCGGAAATCTTGCACGAAATGCCGGCTGCGGTCTCGCGTTCTCGGCTTTTGCCGTTTCGATAGCGGATACATCTAATCCTCTCTTCTACGTAATACATCTACCATAGAAAAAGTGGTATACTTGAATGGTCGGTACATACAGGGTGACTCACCCGCAGGAAACGCCCACGAGAATTTTCCTTGAGGTCCAGATAGTACCGCCTGTTGTCCTTCATCATCATTTCCGACTTCAGTTTCCCATCGTCCGGCACGTTGTCAGGATTGGGGGGACCTGTTGACGATCGACGTTTAAACGACGGCCCAATTTGACCCGATCGTCACGGCGAGATTACTCGACAACGTATTCTAAATGGTCGCTGGGCTTTTTAAGATCTTTTTGCAACACTGTACCAACGGTAACTACATTCGACGAACGAGTTCCCTCGGACCCTTGCCCCTTTGACATCGAATTTATACTCTGTGGATATTTGGCAAACTTTACGCGCGAACTTAGCGCAACGCAATTTCTTCTTCGGATGTTCTAGATCCGATAGAAACAAGGAGGGTCACCAACCTAAAGATGCGTAGAAATCGCTGAACGTCGAGAGATGGCCCCGAAACTCTGATGCCGTGCTAAGCGCCAGAAAAATTTGACTCCTCCTGCCGTCCGCTCCGATCTGTTCAAGTTAAATCTCGATTGAAAACGGCAATGAGCTAGGGATTTTCACCGTGCTAGCCGAAGATGCACGAGTCGCGTTAAATTTAACCGAGCGCTTACCTCGGCGACTTTGATGAATCTCCCGCGTCTGTTTTGTTTGACGTCAAGGTAGAATCTCTTGCTCTGTATCTGTAGCATCTTCGTCGCTAGCTCCTGCTCGCTCTGCTGACCCTGCTGACCTGCAAGTCAAAGAGAAATGATCGCTTCGTTCTTTCGGTTCCATTGACGAAACGCCCGTCGGGTCCGACGTAACGTCTACGTCCTCGTTCTTGAGCCAAAGTTCTCCGGATGAGATAAATTCCTCTCGAGAGGAGTCCATCCCCGCTACGGGTTAACCATGATTTCGACCGACTTAATCTTGAAAATGGGAAAACTAATTGAAACCAGGCGCATCTGCGATTCGCCCAGGCGTCGCCATCGCGTTCGTGTAAGACACGGGACGGGACGGTTTCTGGCTCGGACGATCTCGGGTCGCCAAGACTCGGGCAAGGTTGCCGACCCTTTTTGGGGTAGGACAGGGACAACTCTCGGCGGTCCTCGGCCACCCTCGGCCACCCTCGGCCACCCTCGGCCACCCTCGGCCGCCCCTCGTTGCGATCAATAACAGCTGCACCGGGGTCGACGACCCCTCCGAACCCCGCTACCACCCACCGGGTCCCGACCTAGGCCAACGTCTTTCCTCCCTTGGTCCCCGACGCGAGACGATCCGCTCCTCCTCGCTCTTTTTCTGCGAACGACTCGTCCCTTTCCGACTAACGAGGGCCCGATAGAAAAGCGACGTTTCTTCCGTCTCTTTCCTAACGCCGCGGTCCGTCGACAGGGCAAACGGCATTCGATCGGCGGGGGCTCCTCCCTCGATTCCTGCGGGAGTCGAGGGAATCTCCCGGTGGCGGTCGCGTCTCGGAAACGACGGAGACGCAAGCGTAATGCCGCAAAGAACGAGCCAAATCGAGATCGATGCCTCAAAGAGACCGGAAGGCACGCAAGGGGGACTCCGGAAATAACGTTACGTACTGGACTGTTGCAGGCTGCCGGGAATGGGCACGGGGCTAAGGTCGCCCTGAAAGATCCTGCTCCTGAACATCCTGTCGATGCCGCGATAGTCCGTGTATCCGTACATTCTCCTCCTCCACCGGCAACTCTCCGCCTACTCGCTCTCGAGAATCCCCGCCACTCGCCGGGAAACGTTAGATTCCTCCCCGAGGGGGGTCGCGCCCCTTCCGGTCGCCTCCTCTCCCAGGTGGACCTCGTTCCGGCCAGTTCCCCAGGTGACCGTCCGCCTCGGTGACCCGGCCCATCCGAAGCCGGACGCGAGCTCATCGACCCCGGGCCCCGCTCGGCGACTCCGCCGACCGTTCGGCTCCGTCGACCGGACCCTTCCTCCGAGTGCCTCCCCGGGCGAACATCTCCCGGGACTCCCGGGACTCCCGGAACCGGGGCGAGTCTAGAGCCTGCAAACTACTGGAGCGGCCGTTGCCGCGGTCACGAAGCCGGAGCGCAAAGGGGTCCTCCGTTTCGCGTCGCTCGAGACTCCTCACACTGGATGTCCCCTTCGGGTGGTTCCCTCGACCCCGCTTGGACGCATCGCATTCCGGAACTCGAGTTCCCCGACCGACGGTCCCTCCCGCCCCGTCTTTCGGCGATCTCCTATGTCTCTTCCTCGAGATCCTCTCCTTGCGTGCCGCGTCGGCTCTCGACCTCTCCACTTTACCGGCCGGCTTCGCTCCCCGAAGCTCTCCTCTTCCTCGACTCCGCCTTCTTCGGACCTTTCGGTCTTCCCATTCTTCCCCTTCACGGAATCTACCTTCCCTTCGTCGTGGCCTTAACTCTTCCCGTCGAAGTAGACCGCGGAGCGGTCGACTCGTCTTCGCCCTTGCGCGGCATCTCGGACTTTATCACAAAGATCTACGGTACCGCGATCGCGCCGACGGCGACGACGCCCGACGCGTCGCCCGCCGGAAAACCGCTCCTCCGCCCCGACTGAGAAGCACATCGATCTCCGGTGCACCGGAGGACGAGCGGACCGCGACCTACCTCAATGCGAACTGCATTCTCGCCCTTCTCCGTGGACGCTCTAGCCTCGACGAGGGTTGCCGACCGCGGCCGAGCTCGACCGAGCGCGCCCGAGCGTCGGCGGACAGGGCCGAAGGCGGTCGCCTGCGACCCGACCGGCCCACGATGCGCCCATGCCGGGCTCCGCAGAGGAGAGATTTCGAATCCAAAGCGAAGAGTACCCCTGCAACGGGAAGTTTTCGGCTTTTCTCGAATCCGGCCCAGGGAAATTAAAACGGAACTTTTGCGAGACCCGGGACTCCGGAGAAGCAGCGACCGGGCGAGAAGCACGGTTGGGTATGTAAAATACCTTAGGGAATTTACGTAGTTTTTTACGGTACTTGGATTTTACGGATGAAAAAACCTCGAACGACGCGTCATCGCACAACCCTGGCGAAAAGGACGCGCGAGAGGATCGTCGCTATTTTACCGACGTACCGACAGTCGATAGAGCGGACAAAACGACGGTCCCCTGGTATCTCCGCGACAAGGGCGCGTAGGCGCGAGAGAGCCTCCGCGTCGACTCCGGAGACACGTGGACCGGTCCCGAGCCCAGAGCGCGCCGCTACGTCTCTCCCCGGATGCGCGAGGAATTTCTCGAGGGCTACCTTCTGGATGCCAGTACTGGATCTTGCCCATGGTGTCGCCCCATCCGTTGGTCGCCGCTTTCGACTCGGCGGCCGTCTTCGGGTCGTTTTCTCGCAGCTCCCCCATGCTCCTCCGTCGGCTCCTCCACCGGCTCCTACTCGCGGGTTCGCTCGATACCCGAAACTCCGAACTCTGTGGAAAGTCGCCTTTTATCGTCTCCACGGATCCGCCCGGGCCGGGACGACGTCTCCTCGACTAACGGTAACTCGTGCCGCGTCGAATCGAAAACGACCGTGGAGACGTTTCATCGCCCGATCGTCTTCTTCGAGAAACGGGCTTTACGATCGCGACCATTCCCCCGCGCCAACCCTACGGAAGGAGATCTTGGTCGCGGGCGTTCTCGACTCGAGGTTCTCCTTTCCGACGATCCCAAAGACTCGGATTCGCGAGCACGAAAAACCACCCTCCTATGGCGCCAGCGTCCCGGAAAAGGGGAGGAGAAAGGCCCGCTTACGTTACGTCTACGGGTCGGTCGGCGCTCCTCCGTCTCTCTCTTTCTTCTCTCGGACCGAGTCGGCCGCGGTCGCGAACGAGACGGGTGCACGCACCTCCGGGCGGCGCGGCCCGCGTTACCTCCGCGGCAGACTGACCGAGCGGAGCCGGCCGGCTGTACCGGGGACCGACGCCCGAGTATAGCCCTCGCCGCGCGCCTCCCTCTCGCTCGCCGCTTCTCTCTCCATCCCGTCTCCGACCCCGAGGTCCTCTCCTCCGCGAGAAGCGAAATCGTAGCGGTGACGTGCCGCCGCCGCCGCCGCGGTCATTCATGGAGCCCGCCGTCATGCCGCAGGAATGCGCACATCACGGCGAGCCGGAGGCCGGCCAATGAGGACGACCGCTCTCCGTCCGCCAACCCCGGCACCACGTGACGGGACCCTACCGCGCCGGTGACGTCACGGCCAGCTGACTGCGCGCCGCCGAGGGCGCCCTCTGCTCGAGAGCCGAGGCGGCGCACCTATCGCGCTCCGCGGGCCGCGGGTTCGCGAGTTTCCGTGCTCTTTCGCCTTTTGCGACCGAGGATGATGTCCGAGCGAGTCGGTTCTGTACCTCTCGCTTTTTACAAATACCCCTCAGGCTGAAGGAAAATTACGCCGAGTTATCTTGGAGCGCTTCCTCGTTGTCGAGTGCAAGTAGTTTTGTAGGTTAGGTACCGTCCACCTGGAGTCGATATGGAAAGGCTTTCGTGGACTTCTGTACTTTCCTCTTGATCTTTGCGCGGGAGGAGTTATTGACGGGTCTTGAGACCGTTCCATTAGTTCTTCCGTGCCGAAAGACCGACCGAGTGGAGCACGTTGGAGTACATAATTGCTCGATCGAGCGTTCCGATAACGAACATTCGAGGAAAGATTAACTACACGATATGTGACAAGAGAATTTAACCACGCGTTTCCTGCCTAAAACGTAGCGTTTTGGATTTAGGAATACCTTGAGAACATTGGCTCGTACCTCTACATAACACTGTATTCGAGTATCGTTGAAAGAAATATTATTTGAAAGGGTTTTGACGTCATGTACTCACCGGAGTCAAAATCAGCTCCCCCAGTCTCCATGCCGCCAGGGTTTCCATACTCTGAAAAAATGATTACGAAAATTAGACCAAATGTTCGGGAAAGACCATTACTTATGCGTATCCGCAGAACGTGCAATATATTTTTAAACCATGCCACGTCGAGGAATCCCTAGTTTTTTTTATCTCAATTGGAATTTATCGAAAAGGATTGCCCAAAAATTGTGGAAAATTTTTTATATGAAGCAAGTACGAGACATCGGGGAAAGTACTGCCTATGCATTGTATTAAAAACACGACATATGCCCAAAATGAATTACATCCCTTCGTTGCCGGGCAAGGACCCGTTCTTTCGATAGTAAAAATCCTTCCCCCTTCCCTTGACTGGACGAATCTTTGCACACGTTGGACTCTAGGGATCCCTCTAAAATAAGACGGTTTGGATCTCCACGTTCCCCCGAGCCGTGGTTCTGCGCTTGGGCCTCGCGGACCACCTCTCTGGAGAATCCATACGTGCATTAGTGTCAAAGTAAATTTTTCAATTTCTACGTTTTCTATGACGGACCCTTGAAATACTCCCAGTACATTTATATTTGGATCTCTAAGAATTCCTAAGGATCATTCGATGGGCAGGTTCGTTCCATTCGGAGCCAACCCGATACCCTGCTTCGACGGAGATCCAGAAATTCTTGGACATCATCCCACAAGGAACCAATCACCGAGCAAAAACACTCCGGAGCACCGATCCTCGATCCCGCGGAACGAGTCGCGTGTCCCTCGATCGGAAAATAAGACCTCGCCCGACACGTTTACCGAGTTGCCAGACTCCGCACTCCATCTATCCGCGTGGTTGCGTCCGGGCCTCGTGCGCCACCTCCCCGGGGTAGAAGCGTTGCACGCGTGCCGGATGGACCTCCCGATTCTTACATCACTGACGGTTCCGCATCTCTAACTCGGCGCGGCGCCGCGGTCCGCGGAGAGCGCCACCGAAGCCGCGCGATCGCCCGACGAGGTTAGAAACGTGTCGGCGCTCGCTACGACTCCCCGCGGCCACCGGGCCGGCCTGGGCGGCCGAAAAAACCGGCCGCATTCGAAAACCCCACCTCCGGGGCGCCCCCCTCAAAGAAGAAAAGCGAAAAACTCGAACGAGATCCGGCGGCGCGGGTCGCGAGTCCGCGCGGCGGGGGGGTCGCCTTGGCCGACACGAGAGGTGGCGGCCATCTTGAAAGCTGGCCCGTCGAAAAGCAGGGAATCTCTCGCGACGTCTGACAGAAGCCCATCGGGGCCTCCGGGCGGCGACCTTCCCCGCGGTCGCGCGGTCCGGGAGCCGCCGGGAGCCCGCCGGGAGCCCGCCGGGCCCCGGAGACGTTCCCTGATTCCGCGGCCGCCACGGCGCCGTCGCGCCAACGCGCGAACATGTCGCTCGTCTCCGGGCGCGAGGAGGGACGGCGGCCGCGCGGACGCGCGGCGCCCGGAGACTCGGGCCGGTTCTTACTTTGCGGCTGGTCGTCCAGGCTCTCCCGGTCGGACATGGCTCCGCTCAGGGGCTCCTCGCGGGCTCGTCGCGCACCGATCCGGCCACTGCACCGCGCCGACGTGGGGGACGAGCCTTGACTCCGGGCCCGACCCTGCCAGGCGACCGACGAGTCGCAAGCGCACCCGCTCGGACGCCGATCGCGAAATTTTCACTCCACACTCGCGGCCGGGATCGCCGACCGTCCACGGGGCACCAGTCGTCTCACCACCGCTCCTGCCGCTCCACCGCGCGCGCTGGCTACCTCGCTACCGGAGGGTGCCGGAGGGACACGCTGCCTGCCTGCCTGCCTGCCTGGGCTCGACCGACTCGACTCGGGCCGAAACTCGCCGCCGTCGCCGCCGCCACCGCCGTTCGCTCGCTCCCTCGCACGCGTTCGTTCTCGCCTTCGCTCGGCTCGCTCGGACCCGTCGCGCCCGTGGCTCGGCTCAGCGCAGCTCAGCGGAACGCCGCCAGCGCCGCCGCCCCGAGGGCGGCCGTCCCGCGAATTTCGTCCATGCTGCCGCGGCTTGCCACGCCCGCCCAGAGATGGCGCCTACTCGGTCTTTTCGACTCGGGCTCCGTTTGCGGTTGGAGTTCATCCAGTGGCGTCCAGCACGGCCGCAGAGATGAGTTGGGAGATTGCTCACGGGCAGGGTCGCGCGATCGCATCGTGTGCTGCCCTCTGGTTTCGTACGTTAGCTTTCACCGTTTTGCCCGTGAGCAATCTCCCAACTCATCTTTGACGGCTGCAGACGGCTGTTTCAACCCGTTTCGAGTCCCCGCGGGCCGCGGAAGCGATTCGTTTCTTATGACGGGTCGTTCTCTAGGGTCGGTTCGGCCGAGGATGACTACCCGACGGAACGGTCGTCTTGGAATAAGATTGGTTAATTATTTCCCGGAAATACGTTGCTCGTTCGGTGCATCGCTCGCGATCGCGGCTCCCCGCGCCCCCGCTCCCACTCTCTCCTTCTCGCCGAGCCGTCCGTGCGCTTCTTCGATCGTCGTCGTTCCTTTCCCCTCAATTGTCTTTAAGTAGTCGATGGAACATGTTAGCCACGCGCGCAAACGGACCCTCCCGATACGCCATGGCCTCTGGAAAGTGGGTTACCTCGTCGTCCTCGCCGATCGAATCCAATCGAATCGGCAGTGTCCGTTTTAGTCGGCGACGCGCGAAGGAGTCCCGATTAATCCCGACCAAAGGGAAAAGCGCTAGTTCAAGGGCCATGGGCTTCGGTTCCGATCTCGACCGCGCCAAAGCGCCGTAGTCAGGATTGGGTTAGTAAAATACCCTAAGTAGTTAACGAAGAATTTATAGTAAATTCCTGGGTATTTTACTTAACAAATTTCATACGTGACGTAAATTACATGAATGCTCCATGGAACTTTAGGTTTCCCGATATGTAAGATGTTTCTTCACAAGTGGCGTATACATCGACCACGTTAAAAAAGGGAGGTTACAGCTTTCCCTCGAGTATTCGACTCGTCGCTGTGCAACCCTGACCGTCGTCGGGGGTCGTTGGCCCGCCCGGGCACCGATCCCGAAGAAGGGCGCGCGCGTCCTTATCGGGGCCCTTCGATCGACTCGAGAAAAGTAATTACGCGCACGAGAAAAGACCCAGCGAAGCGCGGCGCATTTTCTAGGTCAAAACGCGTGGAATCGACTGGGTGCGAAGATCCCGCGGAAAGGCGAGTTCACGGAACCGTGCAAGAAGGAGAGCAACGAACCGCGCGGGCTTTTCGAACGGAACGGATCGAGGCGGCGGTTCGGCCCTCTTCCGGACACCTCCGGACACCTCCGGACACCTCCGGACTCGACCCCCAGGACCCGAATGGATCTCTGGATTTAGACGACTACTTGGCGCGCTCCTCCATTCATCGAGTGGCGGCTTCCCCCTAGCCGAACTGGGTAGGTATGATATGTCACGTAATAGACGTGCTTTTCTCCGCGAGCACAAAGTACGTTACCCCCTTTCACTTTTTAACAGAAAATTATAAATTCAGGCATCAATTTGATATTAAACGGGGTTCGGTCGAAAGAATTTTGAACGCAAGCGTCGAATGTACCGTTCCATACAAATATTTACGCGTTTACGCGTGTACTAAAAGGCGCTTATAATCTAGCAGATGCCGTATACCGTCCGTCCGCGGCACTCCTCACATCGGAAACTGCTTGGTTTTACGTAATATACGCGAAGAGCCTCGAAGACCGAGAAATTACCCCACCGTGTTCCCGAGTCGGTCCCGATCGCGGGTCGAGGGTATCGAGTCCGACGGATCCGGCATCCCAAACTACCGGAAGCGGCAATTTGAAATTCCCCCGGACGCGCACCCGGGTTCCGGGGAGGAATCTTAAGGAGAACCCGGGAGAATCTCCGCTCGTCGACGGCGATCGCGGCTCGGGCCCGAGGCCAATGGCGCGTCGGGAGGGATCGGGAGGGATCGGGAGGGATCGGGTGGGATCCCGCCCCCGCAGGTCCGAAGTGGGGAGGGGCCGGCGGGCGAGCGGCTATTTCGAGCTCGGGCCGTCCGGCACTTGGTCGCGAGCTCCCCGAGCGCATCCTTCGCGGACGGCGACGGCGACGACGGCGACGACGACGACGACGACGACGACGACGAGTACGACCGACGGACGGACGCCCGCGGGCCCTCGCGAGTGCCGGTCGACCAATCGCGCCCTGGCCAGGGGAGGACCGGGCCCCGGGCCCCGGCCAATGGGAAGGAGGCGCGCCGGCGATTGGGCGGCCGCGGGGAAGGCGTAGCGCGAGTCGGTCCTCGAGGATGGAAGCGGCGCCCCCGAGCTGAAGGGCGAGCGGCGGACCGCGCCACCGGATATCCTCGTTACCGGCGGCCGTCTCGAAGATGGGCCGCGGGCACCGCGCCGGGGTCTGAGGGTCCTTCCAGGAAACGCGCGGCGACTTCCGTAAGTAGCGCGGGAGCGATCGGTGCCAAGAAACGGGAGGGCCGCGACCGCGACCGCGACCGCGACCTCGAAACGCCGGCCGAGGGCCACCTGGCCGCGACGCCGGCTCGACCGGACGACAAAGAGCTCGCCGATCGATCAGCGGGCGACGCGACGCCGAAGGAGGCCGTCTCCGTCGCCGTCCCGCTCTTCACGGTCGGGACGCACCCTCGCGCGGCGGCGTTCCGTAATCTTTCCAATTATCTCGTTTCGCCGAGCGTAATCGCGGCCGGCGATAGGGGCTCCGAGGCGAGCGAGCGCTCTCGCGATGCGCGAATCGCCTCGGGGGCGCGGGCGTTCCGCGTCGGGGCGTCCGCGAAGCGCGCGGCTCGGGCACGCCCGACGCGCGCCTCCTCGCTGCCGATCCTTTCGGGAATAAAGGACGCTTTATTTCTGGAGCGACGCGCGCCAAAGAAACGCCGAGGGCACGGAAGAATTAAACCGTCATCGGGCGGTCGCTCCGAGAATAAATACGACGCGATTCCGGCCGCGTCCCTTCGAGCGCGGCCGCCGTCCCTCGACCACGTGTGCCCGTCGCCTTTCTGGACCGGCCATCGAGCCGCGCCGCGCCGCGCCGCGCCGAGCCGAGCCGAGCCGAGCGACGGCGACGCCATGTTTGGCGGTCACGCGAGCCGCGGGTGACAATGGGGAAGACGCGTGAGGAGCGTCCAAAGCGCGTCCCGGGACGTGCGTCGCCTCTCGCGCCGTCCGACCGGGGGCGGGGGACCGCGCACGGGACCGGAATCGCTTACCGGCGGCGATTTCTCCGCAGCGTTTCCATCCTTCGGCCTCGCGACTCGCTCGAAATAGTCCCGAGCGGCCCGAGGGGTGCCGCTCGAAAATCGGAACGAAGGTACTCGGACCTACCTCGGGGCTCACCTTTGCCGGATTAGATAGTCGGGCCGCGTTATCGCGGCCCGATAAGACGGGGCTGTTTCCGCGAAGGACCCTCCGAGGGTTCCCCGAAGGCGGCCGAGGCGCGCCGGAAGCGGCCGCGCTCGGCATACGAACGAGTCCGAGACCGCTCGGATCGGTCGGTGAGATCTCACCGACCGGGATTACGGAAAACGTTCACGTAATCCGCCGAAGAGAAGCGCAGGTCGCAGAAGCGCGTCGGCGGGCGAAGTCGTTCGGCATCGGAACCCACGGTGCATACGTCCCGGCGGAAGTTTATCGTAATTTGTTTTGACGCCGGAAGCGGCGCACGTGCGCGGCCGCGCGTCCCTCCCGCCCCTCGCGTCTGGCGGCCGGCCAAGCCGGGCCGGGCCGGGCCGGGGGCCGACGCGTTTCCAAGACGGCTTTCTGGTTTCAGGATGCGATAACGAGGGGCGGCACGCAGCAGCCCGAGGAGCAGAAGCCGCCGGGATGGCGGCCAAGGCGTACGTCTTCCTCGGGGTCTTCGGGATCCTGGGAGTCGCGGCGACCGAGGGTCGCTGGGTGCAGCTCGGTGAGTCCTCCTCGAGTGCCGCTCGAGGGCTGCTCTCGAGCCGCTCTCGAGCCGCTCGAGGGCCGCGGGGAATGGCGGCGAGGCCAGGATGGGGGAAATGTTTCGCTTTCGGCTATTCTGGGCGAGTAAATAAATTCCGCCGGCGAGGAGCGCGAACGCGATATCGGGAGTCGCTTCCAGCGGCCGAGGGCGGAACCGGGCCCGAAATAGCTCCCCGGCTTTCCGCCGAATCGGCACCCCCGAGCCGGAAGGGAGGGCCCTTTCGGGCCCCCCGAGCCGGAAGTCGACCGTTTTTCCGGAAACTCGTAAAAGTGCTCCCGCCCTCGGCGACTCGGCCCCCGAGGCGTCGAGGGAAGGAGCGACCGGGTCGAGTATCGCCGCGATTGGGCCCAATTGTCCACTTGGTCGGTCGTTGAATTGCCGCCACTTCGCTCGTTATCAAGAAACGTCGACGATCGTCAACCCCCGGCGAATCGGCGGACACTTGCGTGGCCGCTTCCTCGCCCGCGGTCGGCGGCCGGCGGCCCTCGGCCCTCGGCATTAGATACAATCTTTTCTCCATTGAACGAACTCGACGGCGTAATGGCGAGAGCCTACCTCAATTGGACAATGGGAGAGACGGCGCGGCCGGTCGAGGACCGCTCGGAGAGGACGCGGATCCGGGCGCGGCCGCCCTCGAGGAATTCGGTCGGCCGCGCTAATCGCTTCAAGATGGGGACGGCCCGGCCGCGCTCTATTCCTGGCCGAGCCGAGCCGAGCCGAGTCGGCGCGAGCAGATGGCCCGTGACGTCACGGCGCAGAAAAAGGGACGTCCTTCCCTCGGGTTCCCCGAGGCCGGCACGTGGCCCGCCGACTCCACTCTCGTCTCCGTTGCAGACCCGGCGGGGGCGGCCGTGGTGGCGGGCCTGGGCGAGAGGCTGTACCTACGGTGCCAGCCGGAGTCCGAGGGCGACGAGGTGCGCTGGTACAAGGAAGGCGAGCCCTACCGCGAGGGGTCGCGGCGCGTCCGCCTCTCCCGACACTTCCTCAAGTTCCGCCACGTCCTGTGGAGCGACGCCGGGGCGTACGGCTGCCGGCTGGAGGACGGGAACGGCGTCGTCCGCTGGAGGAACGCCTCGGTGGACGTGACGGAGACCGACGGCGCCGCCCTGGGCCCCGTCCTCGGCCCCGTCCTCGGGGGCCTGCGACCCCCGCCCGAGGAGACCAACGAGCTGGACGCCGTCGACGTCCCCGAGAGCCGGGCGCTGCACGTCGACCCGGACTCCGGCGACGCGGAGCGCCCCGGCGAGCGGAACCGCACCGCCCCCGAGAGCCCGCCCGCCTTCAACAAGACCGAGGACCTCCACGGGTCCATCGTCAAGCCGGCCGGCAACATGCTGCGCCTCCGCTGTCCCAGCGTCGGCAACCCCCGGCCCAACATCACCTGGCTGAAGAACGACGAGGAGCCCCAGCGGAGCCTCGGCGTCGTCGTCCGCAACAAGTGGACCCTGCGTCTCGAGGACCTGGTCGTCCAGGACGGCGGCAACTACACCTGCGTCGTCTGCAACTACCTCGGCTGCATCCGGCACACCTTCAAGGTGGACGTCATAGGTGAGTTCCCGTCCTCCCTTGTCCTCTCCCCCCGCTCCCCACCCCGAACGGGCCACCGAGAGTGCGAGGTTCCTAAACGCAACGCTGTCACCGAACTATCTAGAGCGGTTCCCGCACAAGCCCTACATTAACGAGGACTTCCCCAAGAACCTGACTGCTCGGATTAACGATACGGCGGTCTTCAAGTGTCCGATCGTGTCCGACCTAGAACCCTACATTCAGTGGGTCAAGGTAGCCGAGTACCCCGACGAGCAGGAGGACTCCCCCAAAGGGACTCTGCTTCAGGTACGCGCCGGCGTCGCCGGTGGCGGTGGCGGTGGTGGTGGCGATGTTGGTGTTGGTGGTGGTGGTGGTGGTGGTGGTGGTGGTGGTCGCGGTGGCGGTGGCGGTGGCGGCGGTGGTGGCGTCGGAGGCGGGGTCGTTCCCAGGATCGACCCTCCTCCAACGACCAGTGCGTCAAATTGGTGGTTGGGTCTTCTCTCTGATCGTAGAAAGCGTCAAGCACCGGCCGATCCTGACGAGGGCGCCCAGGAACGCGACCGTCCTGATCGGCGGCAACGCTAGCATGACCTGCGAGGTCCTCTCGGACGCTCATCGTCATCTCGAATGGTACCACGGATATCACGGTTCCTTTGACACCGTCAACAAGACCGAGCGAAGCTTCCGGGTCGAGGTCAAGGTGGGACTCAGCGGTCGCGTCTACCTAACGCCTTCTCTCTCTTTCTCCGTTTCTCCCTTTCTCCCTTTCCCGCGACTCGCGACTAACCCTTCGCCGACGATCGACGCTTTTGCTAACCATCCCCCGACGTCCCCTGGCGCGTCGCATGACGACTAACCGCACGCGAGCCCGGCGTCGAGGACGCGCCTCTCTACTCGCGACTCCGATTCGACAGGCCGGGGAGGCGGAGAATCCCGAGGTCCTCAAGCTCTACAACGTGACGGAGAAGGACGAGGGCTGGTACACCTGCATCGCCCAGAACACCCTCGGGGAGACCTTCAGCAGTGCCTACTTGCGCGTCGTCGAATGTGAGCGCACCCCCTATGCCAAGAATTCCGTCCCCGTCCCCGGCGACGATGGCCGTAACGTCGGGATTCGTTCTTGCAGCCCTCGAGGAGCAGCGGGTGCCGGTCCCGTCGAGGCCCCAGATCCTCCTGGTCAACAGCCTGGTGGCCGTGCTCTGCGTCTTCTTCGCCGTGGGCGTGGTCGTGGTCATCTACATCTTCCATCGCCTGAAGCGCGAGAAGATGAAGAAGCTGCTGGCGATAGAGACGGCCCGCGCGGCGGTGGTGACGCAGTGGACCAAGAAGGTGATCGTCGAGAAGCAGAGCCTCGTGGCCGGGCAGAACGCCCAGGAGCCGCTGCTCATGCCGGTGGTCAAGATCGAGAAGCAACGATCCGCGATCACCACCGAGGACAACAGCGCCGGGAGTATCTCCGAGTACGAGCTGCCCCTGGACAGCGCCTGGGAGCTGCCCAGGGACCACCTGGTGCTGGGCAATACTCTCGGCGAGGGCGCCTTCGGCAAGGTCGTCCGGGCCCAGACCACCGCCTCCAAGCCGGGCATCCCCGGCGTGGTGGCCGTCAAGATGCTCAAAGGTAAGACTCGCGACCCTCTGCCTTCCCGGATCTCCGGAGTAACGCCCTCGAAATCGACAGAGGGCCACACGGACGCGGAGATGATGGACCTGGTCTCGGAGATGGAGATGATGAAGATGATCGGCAAGCATGTCAACATCATCAACCTGCTCGGGGCCTGCACGCAGGGCGGGCCCCTCTTCGTCGTGGTGGAGTTCGCCCCCCACGGGAACCTTCGGGACTTCCTCAGGGACCATCGGCCCTCCTCGGGCTACGAGCCGACGATCGGCCAGGTGGTCAAGGAGCGACAGACTCTGACGCAAAAGGACCTCGTCTCCTTCGCCTACCAGGTCGCCCGCGGCATGGAGTACCTGGCCAGCCGAAGGTGCATTCACCGGGACCTGGCCGCCAGGAACGTCCTCGTTAGCGACGAGTACGTCCTCAAGATCGCCGACTTCGGCCTCGCGAGGGACATCCACTGCCACGACTACTACCGGAAGACGACCGACGGCAGACTTCCGGTCAAGTGGATGGCTCCGGAGGCGCTGTTCCATCGGGTGTACACGACCCAGTCCGACGTGTACGTAAACGTTTCGTCTCCTCCAAAGTTGCTCTTTTCCCGCGAACTCAACCCCCGGTCAACCCACCGCAGGTGGTCCTACGGAATTCTCTTGTGGGAGATCATGACCTTGGGTGGGACTCCGTACCCGTCCGTGCCGTCGGTGGAGAAACTCTTTCAGCTGCTCCGAACCGGCCATCGCATGGAGAAGCCACCCTGCTGTTCCATCGAGATGTAAGTTCGATCCTTCCTTTGTCGTCGCGTTAAACGTTGTCCCGGCAGTGCGGCCTTGACGCGCCCGCCTCTGTCCGCAGATACATGCTCATGAGAGACTGCTGGAGCTACCAACCCAACGAGAGACCCATGTTCGGGGAACTGGTCGAGGATCTCGACAGGATACTCACCATAACTGCCAACGAGGTGGGTCGAGTACGGGCGGTTCGGCCCGTAGACAAATAAACCCGGACTAATGTCAATTAAAATGTGACCTTTGTCGGGTATTTTATTAGGAATATTTGGACCTGGGGCTCCCTCAGTTGGACACGCCACCGTCGAGTCAGGAATCCTACGACGCCGAGAACGACGTGGTCGGCGGCGAAGACGGCGAAGACGACGACGAGGACGACGACGAGGACGACGACGACGTCGACGAGGACGGGAAAGAGAAGTTTCCCTATCTCCTGTGAAGAGGCGACGTCTCTCCTGGAAATCGACTGAAAGAGAAAATCGGAAATCGAGTTATCGCGTTAAGTGTACAGTCGTTGCGATGCCTCGACAGAGATCGGTGTCAGCATTCTTCTGGGAAGGTAACCGCCGATAGAGAAACGATCAGAGTTATCGTTCGACTATCGGTCAATCTTGTACATTCGTCCTGACTTGCGGTATAGCGGAGAGACTCAAGTTTTGTACATTTAACGTCTCGGGTGTGCCCAACGAACACAGGTCCGCGTATAATTCGTTAGAAAAAAAAGAAAAAAACAGGCGTAAACGTTTCGCCTTAGTACTTGGCGCTAACGAGAAACGATCTTTTATCCCGGGTTTTATGATTCAAAATGCGGAAGGTACTATCGACCGACCCTCCGGGGTGACTTAAAAATTCACGGGGGGGAGGAACGTTACGACGCGAAACGAGTGCGTTTTTTAAGCGACGTTACGTGATATCGACGGCCTCGTTGGTTCGGTAACGACTCGTGTTTGTTGGGTAACTAGTCAATTTGTTAAATCGTTTGCTCGGCGATGGCGAGTAGCGAGCATTATCGTAATGTTTTTATACGTGTAGATACGACGTAAGATCATAGCCGTGGGGTAACGAGTGCCGATTCGGCGCGAAAGGAATCGATTAAAGTTCGATAGGGTGTGAAAGGGTGAATCGGCGATTCCGCCTTCGCGAGCCGAGTACTCTTGAATATTTAGAGAAAATTGTGTAAATAACATGTTGCATAGTTGAGGTATGTAGCTTTAGGTAACTTATTCTTTGTAAATTAACCCTTCGATACCGTCGTTGCTAAACCTCCTCTTTTGTATTCGTAGGATTAGTACCTAGAAACCGACGCGAACCGAAGGCTCGGGCGCGCGTTACTTTTGTATCGATTAAGATTAGACTCGCGTAAAACCGTTCGACCCGATACAAAACCCGTACCATTGTCCGTACGTTCCGGAAACGCGTGTACGCGGGTTGCGCCAATAAAGAGAAGTCGGGAACGGAGCGGATTCGTGTCGATGTTCCTTCCCCTCGGCTCAGAGGACGCTCGGCGACTCCTCCGGGTCGGCGCCTCGACGTCCCCCGCGGTCCGACTCCGAGACGAGGTGGACGACGAAGTTGTTCCTCCGGAAGCGCCTCCACCTTCTGCCGTGCAACCTGCGTCGACAAAATGGACCCTCTGTGCGACCCGAGTCTCCCGGTGGCGCGGCTCCTACCTGCCGAGGGTGATCAGCCAGCCCCAGTAGGCCACGAGCGTCAGCGAGCAGGTCGGCAGCATGGCGTAGATCGTCCAGGGTACCCCGAGGACCCCGCTCTCGAGGACGATGCCGAGGGCCAGGGCGCAGACATAGCAGGAGAAGAGCGCGAGCGGCGTCGTGACCGCCAGGTACAGCACGTCCAGGAGCATCTGAGAGAGGATCCGTCGGAGAGAATCGCGGGCGGTCCCGTCGGCGTCTTACCTGCCGTGTGGCGACGACGGTGCGGAACCAGAGCGCGACGCACCTCAGGATGCCGTGCCTGGGAACCCTCTTGGTGGCGAAGCGGTGGCCGCACAACTCGCACCGGCTGTGCCCGGACTCGGTGAGCCAGCGCTCGAGGCATTCGGCGTGCACCAGGCCCACGGTCCCCCGACACCTGCGACCGCAACGGGGGCCAGGGTCAGCCAGGGACTCGCGGACCCGGAGACCCCGCCCCGACTTACTTGCACGCCGAGACGAGCGGCGGGTCCGAGGCCGCTCCTGCCACTTGACAGATCCTGCAGATGTCGTCCGGCACCCTAACCTCGCTCTCCGCCATCTCCCGCGACGGCTGCCGGTTCCCTCGGTTTCCTCGATTTCCTCTCGGACGGCCCGACCGTCCGTGGTCCGGCCGCGCGCGAGACTCGGGGTCGTCGAGAAAGAGCCCGACCTTGACAGCTCCCCCGCCGCACCGGCGGGAAGTCGTAGAGTTCCGTGGCGATCGCTCGTTTGTCCAATAATCGGTCGATCGTAAAGCGGCGCCGTTCGACGGAAGTCGCGGAAGTCGCGGAAGTCGCGGAAGTCGCGGAAATCGCGACGCCTCGCCCCGGGTGGCGGAGGAGGAAGAGGAGGGGCGGCCGCGCGCTATAAGAGGGACCGGCCGCGACTCCGCTTGCCGCTTATCGTTTACTCGAGAACATGCGTCGGTACGTCTCCTTGGTCCTGGGGCTTTGCGCCGTGGGTGTCTGCGTCGACGTGAGTACTCCTCTGCGCTGCTATCCGCGACTGACTGACTCCGAGCGTTTCTCGGTCGCAGGCCCTCACGCAGGAGCAGGTGTCGCAGTTCGGCGCGCTCCACGAGAAGTGCATCCAGGAGACCGGCGTCGACCCCAACCTCCTGGCGCGCGCCCAGAAGGGCGAGGCGCTCGATGACCGGAAGGTCCAGTGCTTCGGGGCGTGCCTCCTGCAGGGAATGAACATCGTGAGTCGTCTTCGTCGCCCTCGCGTCCCTCGCGCGTCTCGCGCTTCTCTCATGCTTTCGTCTTGCAGATGGACGCCAGCGGGGCCTTCAGCAAGGAGAACGCCGTCGCCCTGGCGCCGGAGAACTTCTTCCGCGGGTCCATCGTCGAGATGATCAACACCTGCGGGGATCAGAGTACGTATGCGGTTCCGCGCGACGAGGCGTTCGTTTGCCCTCGCTAACCTCTCGTTTCTTCTCGCAGAGGGTGCCGACGCCTGCGAGACGGCCGGGAAGGTCTTCGAGTGCATGAACGGCAGCGTGGTAAGTCGGAACCCCCTTTCGAGCGGACTCGAGGGCTGCACGTTTCCCTGGGTTTCAGGTGTTCGGTGTCTTGAAGACGGCGCTCGGCATGTAGAGCGGCGACGTCGGGAGGAACTCGATCGTCTCCTACGGACCTGAGCCCTCCTCGCGAACGTTCTTTTGACGCGAAACGACTTTTGTAACGTCCGGTAGACCCCGTACGGGAGTCGCAGGTGCACCAAATAAATGCAAGAGAAAATAACTTCATCGGTTGCTCGAACCGTCGCCGGTCCTCTTCGGAAGGATAATGTTCGATTAATTGTATTTTCACATATGAAACAGCTAATCCTACGGTACAATGACGCTCACGAATAAGGAAACGAGGGCTCGTTCCGCGAATCGATCGAGGATTCGTCGATCGGGATTTTCGTTGACCTTGCTACCCAATCTACGCGAAAGTATTTACAACGGCGGCGTTCGGGAGTCGGACTTTGAGTCCCTCCCCCGCGAGGAGGCGGGGGAGCGCGACCGCGGACCCGGGCGGGTCTCGAGGTACAGGAGGCAGGACCCGGTCGATCAGTTGGCCGCGATCACCGTGGCCGAGGACTTCTTCTTGAGCACGATGTCCTTGATGTTGAGGTTGACCTTCTCCTTGCGGGGCGGCGGGACCGACTGCAAGCAGAACCTCTTGAAGGCCTCCAGCTCGCGCTCCGCGTCGTCCATCTCGCCGTCCTCGAGGTCTATGTCTTTAGGGGTGAAGACGCTCTCTGCAAAAGACATCCGGTCGATGGAAGGTAAAGCAACGGCGGGAAACGGCCGCGACTCGGGACGTTCCGCCCAACCGAGGTCAAGGTCGTCGCCCGCTCGAGCGCAAGGGCGAGGAAAGCGGAAGCGCAGCTGGACGCGGCTCGACAGGAGGAAGGAAGAAGCGAATTTGCAAGTCAATCGTGGTTTCTCACCAACGAGGTTCCAGTCGTCACCGGAGTGCCTGGCCCCGTTGGCCCGTTTCTTCTTCTTCTTGGCTTTGGCCGCGCTCGCGGAGGGGATCGCGGCCGGGGCCACCTCCCGGAGGGCCGACCTTTCTTGCCTCGTCTCCTCCCGGGCGCCCTCGGCCTTGATCTTCATCAGCGTGACGCTGGTGCCCTTCAGGTTGATCCCGTTCTCGGGGATGGGCTGCCCGTTGGTCACCTTGGTGATGTGGATGTTGGCGAGGCCGGCCAAGCCGGGGCACTCGGGGCCGGCGAGCTTGGTCCTCAGCTCCGCGAGGCTCGAGGGCACGATGCCGTTGGTGGGGGGACCGGTGGGGCCTCCGCCGCTCCTGGTCACGCTCGAGGACAGATCGCCCTTGACGATGAACCGCGGCTTCGACGGCGGGGCCAGTCCCGCGTTGATGGCCTGCTGCAGCGCGGGGCTCCGGATCGTGACCATGCCGTTCTCGGAGACCTTGATGATGGCCGCCTGGTGTGCCGGCTCCATCTTCGGCGGGCCGAAGACCGGGTTCCTTATGGTGACCATGTTGGTGCCGGGGTCGTGCAGTATCCTGGCCGGCTCGTCGGCCGCCTCGGCCGTGGCCGGATTGCCGAGCCGGGAGGCCGGGGCGGCCGGGGCGGCCGGGGCGGCCGGAGCGGGGTTCTTCCCCTTCTTCTTCTTCTTTTTCTTTTTTCCACCCTCGCCCTGGCTCTGCTGGGCGTCTCTCGGAGGCTCTGCGATCAGAAAGGGCGGGACCCTCGTAACCGGGCTCGAGAGAGCGGGGCGACTCGAGATAACCGCGGACTTACCCTTGCCGACCGGCTTCGGCAGGAGGTCCTGCTTCAGCTTTCCGGTGTCGACGACGATCACGTTCCCGCCGCTCTGAGGACCGGCGTAGCTCGACTGCACGCCGCTCATCGGGGCCGCGATAATGGTCGCCTGCTTCGGGGAACCGACCGGCTTCGGCATCGGCGTCGATTTGATCGGAAGGGGCTTGACGGGCGCGTCCACCTTCGTGATCGTGATGCCCGGCGGCAGCTTCAAATTTTCGATGTTGATCTTAGAGTTTGAGCCGATGTCCTTAAACTGACTGCTGAGGGGCAGGTCGACTCGATCGTTGGCGGGACTCTGCGCTTCCGAGGGTAGCCCCGGTCTCTTCATCGGACCGCCGTTGCCGCGAGCCATGGAGTTGTCGATCTTGGTCTGCTTGGCAACGGTAGCACCCTTGACGGATTTACCGCCGTTCCCTTGGACGTCCTTGGTCTGCTGCTGCAGTTGCTGCTGAACCTTCGCCTTCTTGCAGTCGTTGCCGCCGCTGCGATCTTCCTGCGACCCGTCGAGAGCTTGAGCCTTCTTGGCGGTCGGGTTCGGTTGGTTCTTTCCCCCGGCGAGCTTGCCTCTCGGCTGCAGGACGTTTTCTTTATTCTCCGCATTTTTCTTGTCGACTCTGGACTTGGCAAGCTTCGCGTCGCTTCCTTGTCGCTGCGGCGTCTGCGATTTCTTCTCGTCGACCGGCTTTCCGCCCTTCGACTTCTCGCCGTTGACCTGCTTAACGGGCTTGCTCTCGGTCTCGGCCGCCGATTGTTGTTTCGGGTTGCTCGGCTGTTGAGACTTCTTGGGCTTGGCAGGCTGGGTCGCGGACCCCTTGGGCTTCTTCTTCTTGGCGGCATTCTGGCTCTGTTGCTGATTTTCCTGTTTCGCGGACGAGGATTCCTTCGTTTGACCGTTTACCAAGGTAAAGAGTACCTTGTCCTCCGCAGGGGTCTGGCCTTTTAACGTGATCGTGACGGTTGGCTCGACGCTGTTCGGCTCCATCACCCTCTTGATGGTCACGATCTGCGGCTGACTCTCCGACGGTGATTCCTTCTCGATGGTCTCCGACTCCTTCGCCCTGGCCTCCTCTCGTTTCTTCAGCTCCTTCTTCAATTTTTTCCTTTCTTTCTTGGTCATCGCGGCATTACCGTCGACCGCCGTTGTCGACGAGGGAATGCCGTTGCTCCCGAGCTTCGTTTTCGTCGGCGTCTTGTTGCCTTTGCTTCCATCGGATTTCGCGCCCTGACTGGATCCCGTGATGCCGTCTACCCTGTCGACGTCGTTTGCCCCCTTGCTCTTGTGAACCGACGTTGTCACCGGCTTCGACTTGGTGCTACCACCGGAGGTGTCGTTGGTGCCATTACTGGCGGGCGCCTCCTGCTTGTCCTTTTTCCTGGTGCATCCGTTAAGTTGCTTCAAGGTAGTCAGGACCACTGGGCCGGTCGCCGGCAAAATCGAGACTTCCGGTAGGGTGCGATGAGCCTGCACGTTTTGCGACGCCAACTTCTGAGGATCGACCACGGTAATCGTCACTTCCGGGGTCTTCTTCTGTAACTCTATCAGTCTCTGCTTCTCTTCCTCTTGCCGGTCTTTCTTCAGTTTCTCTTCCAACTGTTGAACGACAAAACGCCCGTTAGTTCCCGTTACAAAAAATCCGTTTCCGCGTCTCGCTCTCGATCGCGCTTTTTTTGAATAATTCCATATTAGACCGGACAGGACGTAACTTAATTAAACGAATGACAAACGGAAACGCGCGATGCCATACCTTGCGCTGCTTCTGTCTGGCTTTCTTCTCAGCTTTTTTATTGTCCTTTTTCCCTGTCTGATTTCCTTCGATAAACTCCAAAAGCGCCTCCAGGTCTCGTTGGTCCCGCTGATCCGGCTGGATCGTCGAGGTCGTGGACACCGGAGTATTGGATCTCGCCGGTAAGCAACTACTGGCCGTCTTATGATCCGAATTAGTGCTGGTCGGTAGCGATTCCGCGGGACTTTTCGCGGGACTGCAAGCGGTTTTGCAATTCTTGGCCTTTTTCTTGGTCAGGAGATGGCGCAGCCTCTCTCTCATCTCGTTATAGTTGCGACTGACGGGCGCGACTGGTGGCTGTGTGCATCGTCATCAAAATGGTATAATTAAAATCGCATTCGAGGCGGGATCGAAGGACATGCTACCGAATAGTGCCACGTTAAGTTTCTTCCATGGGAAGACGCGTAGAAAGCGATCTCGACTCGTCGAGAGGATCGACCCGGCAAAGCACTACCTCGCACCATCTCCTTCGACGCAACTTCGAGAGAACGCGAGAATTGACGGGTACTAACGACGCCGTGGCCGAAGACTTCGCAATAGCAGCAGTCGCAGTGCCGACTGGAGTCCCTCGGAGTCAGGCTACTCGTCGAGCAAGAGTCCTCCTGACTGCTCCCGGAGTCCGAGCAGTCACCGTCCGCCGCTGCCACTGATAACCGTAACGATCACGTGTAGTAAGAATGGACCCCCCTTTGGAGGAGTCGCGAGAAAGCTGCAGAGGCATACTAACGATCACTGGAAGACACCCTCTTTATGTGTTCCACGTTGGTCTGCTTGTGGCAAGCGTGAGGTGCGTGGCTGCCGTGATTGTGAACTCGATGAGGAGTTGCCGTGCTTTTGACTAGATCGGGCGGCGGCTCGTGGGAATGCGCGCGTGCTGGACCTAGTGGGAGCGGACATGGAGACACGATTCGTAACTCCACCTCGAGATTGGATCCGCGGCCAATTACCTTGGTGAAGAGTGGAGCGGCCGTGACCGGCGTTGGAGGTCTGAGTCGTGGAGTGCCTCGTCTGCGTCTGGGTGGACTGCGTCGCGTTCGTCCCCACCGAGGTTCTCGCGAGCCTCTGCGGGGGTTGCGCCGCGGGCTGCATCGCCGACCGGGACGCAGGCTCGATCGGTGGCTGCGCCTCCAAGTGCCGGTTCGGCGTCCCGACCTCTACTCGATCTGCCGGTCAAGTACAATTTCGAGTACAATTTCGAGTACAATTTCTCTCCCGCGACCCGGGAAAATCGCGCCGGTGAAAGTTTTTAGTCGGTTTTACTTGTCTTCGCGCAGGAGCACGGGTTCGGTGGCCTCTTCGATTTCATGGAACACGGACACGGGTTCTCGAGATCCTCCTTCGTTTCGGCAGCATCTTTCGCGCGTTGTTGAACGCAAGGACAAGGCTGGGCCCTCGGTTTCCTGGTGTCGGCCTCGTTCACTGGGTCCACCTGCCCGTTGACCAGCATCGGCTCTTCCGGCGTCTCGGGCGCTTGCGAAGTCGCGACTCGCGAATGCCTGGTGTCGTCTTTTGAAGGTGCCTGGGTGAATTCCGAGCTTGGCTTGTCATCGAAAGCCGATTTGACGCCCGCGTAAAGATTGCACAAGCGTGGATGAACACCGTTCAAGTTCGGTGCATCGCAAGTGGCGGAACGAGCCGCGGGTTCGTCTGAAACGAAACGGAATAGTTCCAGCTGTATCGTTCTCTTAATGCACATCCACCCTCCTCGATAAGGAGGAAGAAAACCCGTGGGTACTCACTTCTCGACCCGTTGGCAGGGAGTGGATGAGAATCGCGGCTAGAGGGTTGCGTCCTGGCGTCCACGAGTGGCCCTGTATCGATGCGCTGCGAAAAGTAAAGATCGAATGTCGCGGAACGACGGGAAGAAACGCGTCTAACTTAACGATTTTTCTTTAACTTACCCCTTGCAGCTCGTACGAAGAAGCGATGCATCCGTGGCACTCGCACCGCCTATTCTCCCCGTTACAAGACGTCCCTTCGCTGCCATCGCAGCTCTCCCGCTCTCCGTTGACTGGGCTGAGAAGCCAAAGACGAGATTACACGTATTTTTAACGAGCGTCAATGGTTCAATGGTAAATTTGATCGGAGCCGCACCCGAGAGTCGTCGACGGCGAATGGGTGAGAATCAGGTTCGCCGCGCACTCGTAGCCCAATCTTAGATCCGGCTCGTTGCAGTGCGCTGGAATCGGTATAGGAAGAAAGACGTTGTGTCCGTTGGATGCCATCTGACTTTCGGTGGCAGCCAGTGCACCGGCCATGTACGCTAATCTTTGGTGTGGAGATCCGTTCCAGTCCTGCAGGAGACTCTGCACGATCTCGCTGTTGGGAGGAACGGTGAACGAGTCCAGGCCAAAATCCAGGTTCGGACTGGGCGGTCCGCTCTCCGTTTCGGAAGAATCGGACTGGCCGGTCTCGAGTGATTCGCTGAAATTCCATTAAAACCGCAGGACTTTTAACATACGGTTATTACAGGACGCGATGTAGGGAATATTCGGCGCTTCTAATGGGATGGATCGAGTAAGGAATTCTTTGGAGGTAAAATTATACCTTTCAATATCTGCCGTTTTATTCTGCACGCGCTGCTGGAGTTTCCGCTTTGTCGCGAAAATCTCCCACCCTTCCCTGAATTTTCGCAACCTTGTCATCCGAGCGGTTTGCTCCACGCTAAAATATACACAATTTAACGATTACGTAGTCCTTTGGATAAACCGGAATAAATTTGGGGATACGTATGCCTCACTTGTATTTATCGATAAGTCGTTCCGTTTCAGGCCAAAGGTCACCAATCCTGGTCATCTCGTCGTCAAAGGCGAGATACCTGTGCACCAGAGACTGGTATTCCGGACCTTTCAGAGGTAATAACTTTCTCAGCTATAAATTTTTCAAGCGGTTAGTAAGTTGCTTAATAAGCAAGGAAACATTTCGAACTCCGATATTGGCCGGTACTCTAGTGAAATAATTATATTCCCCTGACAAAAGAATACGAACTATCTAATTATTACTGAGTTCGGTATGCTTCCTTCGGGTGTCTAGATTACTTAATATTCGTACGATGAATATTACCTTACCTGGCCAATGAAGGGCGGCAAATTGTTTTGCACTAACGGATCCGTATAGACATAGTTCTGATACAGTTTTTTGTTAAAGCCCTCCCAGGTTAGGTTGAATTTACATAAATGTTCCTTTTCCAGAGGTTCTATCAAGCTAGAAATATTAGTGGCCGTGGAGATAAGGGCATCGTACCCGTCTAAAAGACCTGCTCGCGAAAAATCAATCATTACCATAAAAAGTGACAAGTATCGATTGAGAATTAATTAGTTCAACATATTTTCTGGATGCGCTTACCCGTTAGAAAAATTTCAGCCAAATTATTAACGCTACGATCATGAAGGAGCACCAACAGCCGTACTTTTACATCAACTACAAACTCCTGCGCTTGACCGACTAATCTCATGAACAGCTGGTGCGGATCCCTCTTGCACAATCTAAAACATAGATCATCACGAATCGGCTATCAAGGAATTCAGAAATATATCGGCATTTAGCGTTAAGCGAACACGATCGTCGAGGAAACTGCAGACAATATCGACTTACTGAATCACGCTTTCTCGTAGGTCGACTAGCTGCACGGTGTCGTACCGATCTTGCTGAAAACCACGAGGATGCGTACTTTCGAAAACCGAATTGAACACAGAGCGCACGTATCGGCGCAGCTCCATCCACAGGCCCTGTAACCTCATCGCTTCGTCCAGCTCCTCCATGAACAGTTCCCTACGAAGAAATCGATTCCAGTTTCAAACTACGTTACCTTAAAAACTACAAGTTTAACTTGTAGCCTCGTCGACGAATTCTCCGAGCTCCAACCTTTTGACTTTACAGGTCTCGCAGGAACACGGGCCCTTGGCGTGCCGACTCGGACCACAGGGAGTTATCGTCGAATCATAGGAACCTTTCGTGGAATCGTCGGGCTGTACTTCCAAGGGAGAACTTTCACCGTCCGCGCTTTCCTCTCCTCCGACGCTCGTTTCCGTGGACTCCTGCGAGTCGACTCGACCCTACGGGAGACAACTAAATTACTCGACCGAATCTCGTCAAATGCAGTCAAATGGGTAATCCGTTTGGCGGCTTTCCTCGCAATCGATTCGCGTCGCCAGGAGCGGGCCCTCGGTGCGCCTACCTCGGCGTCGTCGTCGACTTCCAGGGGCCTCGGATGGCACGGGCGGCCGGCCTCGGTCGCGGGCTCGGGATCCTTAACGAGAACGTGACCCATCGCGGCCGCGTCAACCTCGCCGCGCTCCTTCGCACCGTCGCCGTGGCCGCTCTCCGCGCCGTTGCTGCCGCTCATCCTAGCGTCGCGACAACTCGCGACAATCCGGACCAAAGAGGATCCGCGTCTTCCACCGCGCCCCGTAAAAGCCTCCTAGCCCGCGGGATTTCAGGGAACTCGCGCAGACACCTTAGACAGCGCGGCGAAATAAACATTCGGACAATATGGCGACTGGCATACTCGCGCTGGCTCGCCGACTGGCGGGACTGGCGGCGGCTCCAGGACCACGGCGGCCAACCACGGCGCACCGGGTCCACCCGGGTCGACGCCGACGCCTGCGGGTACCGACCGTGGCGACCGTGCCGATCATACGAGAAGCGCGCGATCGCGAGTCGCGTCCTCGGGGAGCTCGGGAGCGATAAGGATCCTCCCTACTCGAGCTTCCTACGTTGCCTCGGTCGGTCGAGGTCGTCGCGGCTTTGTGCATGTGACTCGCTCGAGGACAGCCAGGTGTCGCCACCGCTTCGCTCCGGGAATGGTCCGCACCCCATCGGAGTTCTCTCGTGGCGCCTCCCCACGGGGCTCGCGCCAACGTTCAAAGGCTACTTTGTCGGCGGAAAAGAGACAACGAGAGTGAACATCGTTCACGCTCGATTCATCTGAAACGTGCAGATTGCGTAAAGGCCGCGCGAAGGCTGCAAGTAGTATATCAACGTTTCGCACGATAATCGTGGGCCGTTTCGCTCTGCGCGTCGACGCTCTTTAATCGTACGAGTCCACGTGGTAGACGCTAGAAGATAGACGAAGAGAAGCAACGTTCCCGCTCGATCACTCGTGCATTCGACGACGTAGTATCGTTTTCGAAAAAAAAAAAATTGTCATCGTGTCGTGGCACGTGACGAACAAAGATAGAACGCGCGGTCAAGACGAAGAAGCCGACACAATGGATGGACTTTGGAGACAGAATTTCCTGACCGTCTGTAAGGACCTAATCGTTGCCTTGGCAGTATAACGAAAAAAAATAGATTCCTGGCTCCCCGATTACACCTCTACCGAGACCTTCCGAGACACGTCTCGCAATGTTCTCGTCCACGTTGAGGCTAGCTTTCGGGATTGGCAACATCGCGGGTTCGAACGGGTCGCCATGTTGGTAGTAATGGCGCAGCTCCACCGCATGGAGCCAGAGCAACCCTTTGTGTCAATTTCTCTCCGTTCCCTCTTTGTCCGCTGATGAAACTCGGTCCAATGCGACCTCACCGACTCGTTAAACGTACCCTTTTTTTTCTGGATGCTTTTCGGCGTTCGAGACCGTGTTAGATTCGCGCAGAAAATTCAATTTGGAAGGCTGTACGTTCGAATGTCCGCCACCGCGGGGGGAACGGAGGGTGTTGGGTCGACACAGTATTGCCAACTCTAGTTCTGTTTATCCTAGTACAGTCGGATTAAAATAATAATACGATTTGATATAATGAACAAAAATAGATAAATTAAGAAGCCCAAATATTTGAATAAAAATTTTGCCTGTATTTAAAAACTAAAGGAAATGCAATTTAACGCGTTAAATCATTTATAACCGATTATATTTATTTACAACGCTCGTTTTTAAACGGCATACTTCCATTCTCTATTTTAACAAAATTTAAGTGTCTGTACATACATATAAAACGAAGAATATAAACAAAAATATCCATCAATAATAAAGTCGTCCACAGTTCCATTTTCTACTAAAGTAATGGTACAATTCGCATACTATTATTCTAAAAATGCACAATACACCGGACTAAATAGTAGAAACATTAGAATAATAGACAGTTGGCAACACTGGCTGGCCGGCACGGCTCTTAGGTCGCGGTGCGGGGGGGTTTGGAGATCTCGCGCTTTTTCCTGAATCAGGGCGTCCTCGTTGCACCCTTTGGTTCCCTCGAGTTAGAAAGAGAGAGCATGGTCTCCTGGTGGACGCGGTGGGAGCGCAGATGCGTCGGTCGGCCTCTCGCACTGATCATGATCTTCGCCAGCGGCCAGCAGCGTGACGTAGCTCGGCGACTTGGCGATCGCGTTTTCGGCGTGTTTATTTCTCGAGTTTTCTTGCCATTGGAGTTCTGATTCGCCTTGAGACAGTTCGCGAATCGTCGGCGCAACGACTAACGACGTGCTGGGAGCATCGTAAACCCCCCGAGACGCTAGGAAGCCGGTATATCGTGTAAAAAAACAATGGCACGCGTCCGACAAACATCGAGATTCCCCTGACGTGAGGTGGCGAGCCTCGCGCTCATTGGCCGCGAGGGCCTGGCCGATTGATCGCGCTCCGCCGAGGTCGGGTGACCTTTCCTCGCACAGGGAGTCCCTGGCCGAACGCGTTCAGACGCGTTCGAAGGGATCTGGGTATTTCCGGGCGACCCTCGTCGCCTTGCGTCGCCTCTCCCGTGGCCCGGGTCGACAGTCTTCGCCAGCCTTCGCCAGCTTTTGCGAGGAAGGGGCGAGTGCTCGACGGGGGGGCCGTCGTCGGTCCGTGTGTTGTGATACCGTCACGAGGTGGAAACGAGACGTTTGGTTGTTTGGTGATCGCCGATTCCAGTCGATCTTCGATGCGGATTGGAATCGTTTCGGAAGGGCGACATCTCATTTACGAGCGATCGAGTCCGGTAATCGACTGGCATATCACGGCGCGAAGATGTTGCCTTTCGGATAGGGTTGGCCCGAGATCGAGTAAATAAAGTACTTAGATGCGTCTCGTAGAGGGTGTACGGGAACGCGTTTATCGAATTTTTACGGTAAGTCGATCGTTTCTTTTTGTAAGCGACCTCCGTTTGCCGTCAAATGGGTGATACGAGCTACCAGGATTACCTCCTGGATTTGGGGGTTAACGTTATGGACAATCTGGTAAAACAAGAGCCGGTGCAGGAGATAAGCTCTATGTCGGCGTCCGTTCCCATCCCTGGAGGTCATCGAGGAACCAGAGGAGTCTACGATCAATTCTCCCCATCGCCTTTGGCCACGCCTCCCGTTTGGGGTGTCAGACCCGACCAGACGGATTCGCCCTTCAAGCTGGATCCCGATCAACTGGATGTCTCCTTTAAGATGGACAACGACGATATTTTCCAAGTGGACACGGCCGATCTTATTCAAGGTCCCACTTTGGCCGAGCTCAATGCCAATGACGATACGCTTTTGGGAGACTTAAATTTTGACGATTTGTTGCTGCCCGATGAACAACTTCAGCCATCGAGAGTACCTACCGAGGTAACGCCAACCGGAACATCTTTCTTTAACGGCGGGCCTGTGTTTGCACCAAGCAGTTTTCCACAGTCTGGAATCGTGTACCGCCCGGTATACGCTAGTACCACAGGGTTCAATGTAAATGGTAGCGTTAACATTGCAAATAATTCAGAGGCTGTGAGTCCCCCGAATTTCCCCAGCCCAGAGCCGACAACGATCGCAGGTAAATATTCTATGGTTTTAATATTTACCCGATAAGGAAAAGATTACAAATGATATAATTGTATAAAATAATTAAGTGCTGTTGAGTCACCTCTAATGAATACCAAAAATGGATTTGGTCGTTTCTTCTCAATTGGTATAAATATTCAAATTGAATTTTGGTTTAAATGTTCATTCTTAATTTTTTGGGGCCTAAACAAATGATATAAATTTCACTTATCTTGAAACAACTTTTTAAATATGTGGATATATGCATTCTAATGGGCACGGATTGCCATTTACCACCTCTTTTAGAGACTGGATCCGATGACGTAAGAGACACTAAGGATTAAGTAATCTACTTGTGAATGTCCTATCGACTGTTTCTGTAATGTCAGGAAGTCAAACCACTTTTTGATTCGGTTCTACAGTATTTACATAACTAGAAATGTTTTTTGAGGGCAGTAAACATGTTTTTTATTTTCATATCCTTTTAACTAAACCTTAAGAGATGATGTACTTAAAGTAAACATATTTTAGATAGGATCATTTACGTGCTCATACTAGAATTGTTAAGGAAAATTAATGATTGTACCCCTCCTTGCGTCAATAATAGACAGATTCACTTAGAATCTTTTTGAAATCCGTTTCACTTCAGCAAATTCTACGGCAAACTCTTTGACGTTTCCCCAACCGGTAACAAAGCCTACCGGACAGTCGACTCTCCACGAACTGCTGATGAGGAGAGCCGAAAATCCACCGACCAGTCCAATTTGCACCAACGTCGATGCAGTGTCCATGACAGCCAACAAATCAAAGGTGGCAAGACTTTCGGTCTCGGCGCCCACGCAATCGATGGCCCTGGAGCAATTGTGGGCCCGCAGAGAACCTCGACAGCACCTCCTGAGCACGGGCAGCCTGGGCCTTGCCGAAGTAGGCTCGACCAGTAGCTTCAGCACCGGGGGGGCATTAAGCCCCGATCCCCTCGGACACTTGGATCCTTTTAGTCACGACGAAGGATACGAGGACAGCGATGACGACAGCGATCATTACGATGACTACAGCAGCGACAATGGTATTTTTGTCCGCCATACCAGACTCAACATAACCTCGTTAATCGTTGGTCCTTCGAGGGGAAAGTCTAGCATCGGTTGCACCGCGTTTGAATTAACTCTTTTAAATAACGATAAAGCATCATCATAAGTACGCATAGTAACGTAACTTCAATTATATTTTTTTTTTGCTTATAAAAAGCAATTAGATGTTTACTGCAATGAATTAAAATAATTAATTCTATCGACATCGACGTAGCGAAAGAGTGACGGTTTTGTCGACTCCCACGCATCGTTAGAATTAGAGAAATATTGGAAGTCGTTCAAAAACACTGAGCCTCGCGGTGATTTACGTCGAGTATAATATCCTACGTCAGGTTCATCGTACGGTGAATCTAGGATCCTAAAAGCGAGCCTCGTTCCTCTAGATTCCGTTGACAGCGACGGAGAGGAGCAGGGCGGCATAAGAGTGGGAAACGCCGGAAGCGAGTCCGTCCGCGAGGGCCGACCGAGCAAGAAGGAGAGGTACTTCTGGCAGTACAACGTTCAGGCCAAAGGACCCAAGGGTCAGCGACTGGTGGCCCGGGCTCGCCTCGAAGATCCCCATGTCCTGAACGAGGCGACGGATCCGGTCTTCAGTCCCCATTGCGCGCTTCGAGGGATCAAGCACAGCGGCAAGGCCCGGAAGGGCGACGGCAACGACCTGACGCCCAACCCGAAGAAGCTCTTCAGCATCGGACGCGAGCTAGATAAGTTATCGCGAGTCATAAACGACATGACGCCGGTTTCGGAGCTGCCGTTCACCGCCAGGCCCAAAACCCGCAAGGAGAAGAATAAACTGGCCTCGCGGGCCTGCCGTCTCAAGAAGAAGGCCCAACACGAGGCCAACAAGATCAAGCTGCACGGCCTCGAGCAGGAGCACAGTTGAGTCTATTATCGACTATCATTCATGGGATTTAAAGATTTTATGAGAATCAATGAACCCTACGAGTACGATGAGCTGACGTTGCACGATCGTTTCAGGGCGTCTCATCCAAGGCATATCGCAGGCCAAGCAGACTCTTGCTGCCAAACTGACCGAACCTGGTAGAGAGAACCAGGAGGAGCTGTCCAAGCAGATGGAGAAGTACTGTAAACACGCGACGAGTAAGTGCCGGTTGATCATTCCTGAATTTTCTCCACGTTTAATTAAAGAGACAGAAAGAAAAAGAGAAAAGAAGAAACCGAAAAATTCATTAAAATTTAATATTCAGAATTGAGGGTAGAGAACGGTTGATCCTTTTTTTTTTTTTTTGCGATTTTGAATATTTGCCTTTGAGCTAGAAATTTACCGATAGCCCACTGTTTTCCTATTTTTTTTTGTTCATGGTCCTAGAAAGATGCGTGGTTTATCTTCTCGAATAATTTGATAAAGTCGTGATAAGAAGCGCGAAGCTCTCCGGATTTATCAAGATCGTTCCTGCCGCTCGAGGAAAGCATATTATCGTCCGGCAGTCTGGTCTTGAACGTGTTTGGCGAGTTCCAGAAAGGCAACTGTTATTTTCTCTCTCTCTCTCTTTTTTTTTTCCAGAGATACGGATAGCCAATCATTCAACCGAATTCGTTAACAAAGTGCTGGACAAGGTAAAATCCGGCGTGCCCGATGGTGGAATCGACGAGTTTTAGTACAGAATCGGCTCTGTATGTATTTTTGTCGTCCGTAGTTGTAAGTGGAGGAGGAGAAGAGGAGCCGTGCAGTCGCCACTACACAGCTACATATATTTTCTACAGTTATTCGTGACCGATCCAGAGAGTTACTTTTAATTTATTTTAATTAATATTATCCGACAGAGTATACATATATAGATATATATGACGCGAGTTAACCGGGACAAAGCCCGCTGCTTATATTCCAATCGGAAAGGAACGGCGCCCTGATTCTCAGCCCAGGAAGCTTTACGATCACTGTCGGCCTTAATACACTCGGCGCTGAAAAAGCGACGAACTTGTCTCTCGACAAATCTTTATACATCGCGCAGATCCGAATGGACGTTCCAAAGAGTATCATAGTCACTTTTTTTACCTCCATGTCGAGCTTTGGAATTCACAGAGGAGCAATTCAGGCTTGATTAACCGTGGGGTGGTTTCAAATATTTTCGTTTTGCTTTTCAGACGTTTTTCAGGTGTATATGAAGGTTCTGTGGAGAAGGACGCTTAGTATACGATAATCGCCAGGCGATTTTCTTACACTGCTTGATTTCTGAGAGGGCAGAGTGGTAACTTTCACTAAAATACCTCGAAATTATTTACTGCCATCCCCTTCGGGAAACGAATAATCATGTACTTTACTTTTGAGTTAATTAATCACGAATTGTTTGTTTATTTAAAGCTGCGGGTTGATGGTTAAGTTTGGATATGTTGGTATTGATCGATTCAGTTTTGAATTTATTTCCCGTTGATTTAAAATATAGGTTTATATAAGTATACGTACGGTTAGTAGGCCTCGAGTAATTGAGAAATCGGGAAACGAGAGATTGTGGTTGAGTATCGAGATTGTATATATGTTATAATGATCTATAAATGTTGTTTTAAATATTATAAGTAAATTATTATCGTGAGATATCGTATCACGTAGAGTACCTGTAATTTTAAATGCTGACAAGAGCTTGGATGATTTTGAGAGATTTTTCTGAATTTTCTGACCGTTTAATTTTGACCTCAATAGAATATTATTCAGTATAGGAACGTCGATTTTGATATTGCTTTTTACGAGATTTTTATAAGAATCACGTCCACCTGAGACATCTGAAAATAATATTTTTTAAAACCACCCCAAAATGGAAAGCAGAACAAATAACGTGTCGGTATCACTGGCTCTAACGAATCTAGTTTTTTTTTTTTTTTTTTTTCAAAGCGAAAAGATTAAGGATCGCACTAAGAATAGCACTTAGAGTACTTCGTTTACCTAAGAATAATTGCTTTCTCATTGCAAAATCGCTGCGATTGGGGATCCACGGTTATCAATATTTCTTTCTCTCTCTTTAACGAACTCGTATGTTTTTTTTTTATTTTTAGACCTCGTCATCAAAACACGTAGCAATGTATTAAGTTTGTTATACAGATACGAAACAGGTTGCAGCTCTGGTAGAAAACGTGAATTTAATTGTTTCATTATATGTATCAGTTATTTCGAAGTGTAAATTTAGTCGACTGTGGATCTCCAAAAGCAAGCCAGGGTAAGCATAGCCATTTGGATACATAGTCTGAGTATTGGTCCTAAGACTAACGTGAAAGTTTTGAAAGACTTTCTTTCGTATATGTAGGTATGCGGGATTAAAATACAGGATTAAAAGTAAAAGTGAAAGACACCCGTTTTAGGGGGATCTGCCTCTCAGGTATGACAGTAGTTGATTCCGTCTACCTCAAAAAGAATCGCTATATCTGCATAAAACGTTTGACGATGAAGTTTGCTACCAATTTATATAAAGCATTATCCAAACTACACATACACACACACACACGTACATAATATTGTATAATTATGTATTCATAAGTGCTTATTACATAATGTGTATATATATAGAGAGCAAGTACGAGATAACTATTTTATGCCTAGTTTATATATGTGAACGTATATATATATTGGATCATAGCTCTGGTAGCTATCCCCAGTTAGCATCGACACTATGCGTTTGATTTTTAAATATATTTTATTAATATATTCCGATATATAGATACTTTAAAGTATATGCTACAAAAATACTGTTATATATTTTTTACACAATAACGATATTACGAATTTCGCGTCAATTGGATCACTGGAATTGCCTAAAGTCACTTAAGTCGATCTTAACGAGATATTCAGGCTGAAGTCCGGAAAGGAAGTCCAGATACTTAAGTGGGAAAGGCATCGGCTTAATTCGGTTTCCTCCTGCCCAGAAGTTTTTTGAGATTCGGGAAAGGTAGAAAAATGTATTCGTAGAATATTGACATCTTTCATGAAAATAGCGCAAGCAGTTGTGAGAACTTACCTTTATTTTCCAAAGTCCGTCTCACTCTTGCAGTTAATTATTTCAGATCTGGAGAGTATTTGCTAGCAAATTTACTTCTCGTGTATTACCGTTTTGGATATTTAGAAAGTGAATATGCAACGCGTTATGAAAGTGGGAATATTTATCTTCTTGAAATTTCAGATCCCTTTGGAGAGACTTAGCGATGTGGGATTGTTAAAAAATGTATCGGATTCTTATGGAACTGTAATTCTTAATTTGAGCGAGTTGGAACCTTAAAGCATGTTTTTTTTTTTCTTTGTAAGCACCCCTTTAGCTTTTAATTGTATAGATATGATAAATATAATTGTTAGTACTTAATCGGAGACGCAAGGAACATCTTTTAGTGGTCTTATATGTTTAGAATTGCGAAGGAAAGATATTTTTTTTTTGTTCTTGTAAGACGAGAATTGGTAACTTGCGAAGGTGATATTTCTCTTAATGAGTATTTTTAAAATACTGTTTTATTTTTGTTTGTTTTGTTGGAGTTTTAAAAAGAAACACTTGTAATCGGATACGAACACGGATTCGTCTGGTTTGGTTGAGAAATCTTGACCGATCATTCGGCACAAACTGTCCCTGTACCGAAGTAATGTAACTCGATGTAGTACCTGCCGGTTAGCTTTCTTGCTTAGCGAGTAGAGATATGCCTACGATTTTGCTTCGACAACCCCATTCATCTTGTAAATAGGATTTATTTTTTTTACCGACGGAAGGAAAATGTTTATATAGGGACCTGAAAAATTAGAGAATATAATGTAAATAGGCGAAAGATGTTTTTATCACTAATTTTGGAGAAAACTTTCAGCAATCAATAAGAGATACGATAGTTTCGAGGCTATATTTTTTAAGAAAAGCTTTTAATGCTAATTAAAAAAAAAAAAAGAACAGAAACAATGATGTAGAGAATTGGTTTAACTTTGAGCCGAAGCCTTTGTCATGTGCAGGAAAGAGCAGGGAGTTAGACGTCATATTGAAGGTATTCACGGTATTTTATTCACATTATATTCATATTCAATGTTCTGTAACACTTGTGTATAAATAAATTCTACATCATCTGTACACTGTTATTCTAAAGTCCAATTGAACGGTACTCCATGATTAGTTAAGAACGAGACACCTGCAGTAAATGTGATTTCTATTGAAAAAAACTTTACACAGGTCGTTGTATAAGCAAAAAATTGCTTTGATAATATTTTATGCACTTTGCTAGAAAATCAGTTGTGTCGTGTAGTGTAATTCAAAGGCTCGGATAGAACGAAACATGGACAAAGCCTGAGATCGGCTCGTACTATCTAAGTGTACAAAAAATAGTTAATTACTAATGGCCGACGCGTAACAATTTAGTTTGCTGTAGGGTACAACAATAATAAAATCAGTCGGTGTAGAAACCAAGCGAGTTCGGACTTAATTTGGTTTCTCGTATTTACCTCTGTTTTACTTCTCGTTTTCTAATACTCAATATTAGGAAATTAAGTACCAGAGGGAAATGATGCGCGTGTCGTAATTAGATCCATCTTATGCACTGATTTAACAGGTAACTCAGAATATACAAAAGGATAGTATCCATTTTTGTCTCTTTGTGCATAGGACATCCCGTGCAATCGTTGCTACCGGACGTGTGACAGTAGAATCGCATTTCTTTGGCCAGCATATCTATGTACAAATAATACTTACAAAAAACATAAAAAGGCGTGTACGAGGCTTAAACGTGGTACACTGGATACAATTGAGCGACTAGATCAATTGCACTTATTGTGTAGCGATCAGTAAAGATACTGAAGTTTCTTATCGATGTCGTTTGAACTGACTAACTCGCCGAATTTTCTCTAGAATCTTTCAATTCGCATAAACGTATTTTATGTGACTCTCCCGCGGGAAAAGATGCTCCTGTATTGAAATTTAATTATTCTAATTTATTGCGTTAAATAGTTTTACCGAAGGGTCGTTATGACTACAAAAAAAAGTTACAATCAAGGCGTTTGTACGTCTTAATTCTTGTCGACATTTATAAATAATTTATGTATCGATACAAGTAGGTGTCTATTAGACTTTAGGAAATGGAGACTCTAGGGCTTACTGGCAGGAGCATCCTTATTCGTTGCTGGATAATTATAATTTCTCAACACCAATTATTTCTTTTTGGTATTTTAACGCTGTACAAGAAGTACTTAAAAATTATTTATAAAAAGCAAATCCTTAAATTGATTATTTAAGGACAAGAACATCCAGGAATAAATTATTGCCTTGACGTTCTTGTTTCAATTATTATTGATTTGGTTTTGATAAGTAACGAGCCAAAATCATAAATGCACCCTTTATCGTATCGATTCAGGTTCACTTCTAAATAGGCTTCGTTTTTAAGTATGTACAATAGCTTAGGCAATTTTTCATGTATATATACAAAATTAGTTGATTTTTGGGAATCTTCATATAACGCTAGAAGCTGACGAAATGTATGAAAATCCCGAATACTCGTAGGAAAGAAAGAGCTACGTTTAGAGTATATTTAAAATATTTCCTCAACACTTTAAATATATCCAAAACGTTTTGCAAATGGGTCAAACACTTAAAACGTATTACGGATATCCGGAATACGTTAATCAGGGGGATGGATAATCCCAGGTCGTTTTAAGTGCTTAAAGTATTTAGTATCTAATGCGTTTCAGATACAGGGTGGCTAGCAGCTTCTGTTACTTCTTAATCACCCAGTATTTAAAAACTTATAAATAATCTCAACCATTTAGATAGGAAAATATTTCTGTCAGCTCTAGCCCAGAGAGATTCCCTGTATCCAAGAGCTAAGATCACTAGTGTCTTCGCAACTAAGACTCATCGGTTGTTTGTCATTTTTCTGGCACTCTAGCAGCACTTGAGCTGCAGTTCGTCCGGTTAAATAAGCCCCATGCACTGTGCTGTAGAAGGAAGAGTGCGTATGTTCTCCAGCAAATGCTATCTTGATCTTGGACCGATCTTCCGAGCCAAATAATGGTTCCGCTAGGCTCTCTATGTCCAACTGACTAGCTCCCACTGCCATGGCAGTGTAAGACCCTCTGGTATAGGGTTGCGAATACCAGGAAGTACAAACGCATCCCTTTGGCGCGGGAGCAAAGGGATCGTTGAGAAATCGTCTCAATATAGAAGTGCACACCTCCGCAACTTCTTTTGAACTTAAGTTTTCCATGTACTCCGCGGCCTTCCCTGATATCCATCCAAGTAGGAGAGTTTCGGAAACCTTCGTGAAGGAATAAATCTTTCTGAACCAAGACTTGCTCAAGTCCTCCCGTTCTTCTTCGCTGAGACCTCTGTCGTCCCATAGAAGCATTACCTCCGAGATCCCTGGGTGAAGGAATGGTCTCTCGTACTCTAAAAATATTTTATCCACCGTTCCAAATAAAAGTCTATCTATGGCCTGCAATTTGTAACCGGGCAGCGAAGGTTCAAATATGTCCTTAACTTTCTCCTTTAAAACTCCTAAAGGCAATGTGCATATCACTTGCTCTGCCAATATCGTTCGACCGTTATCACACTTTACTTCTATGGGATTGTCATTTCCATTCGAACAAAGCACCGTACGATTGGAGTCGTCGGATTCACTTCCACTGGTGTCGGCTGCATCCCATCTGAAAAGGATTTGTAGAATTTTAGTGGAAAAGTTTCTATTACATCAAGAACGGATGTAGTTATGCTGGATCGATATAAACAAAATTTATTAGATTACCTAATTCTATTAACAACATGTCGAATGAGAATTTTATTTTTTGGTATATGTTTAGCAACGGGTCCCAGTATGGCACTGTATCCATCGGGCAACGTGATATTGCCCCCTTGGAGTTCGGCATAGGATCCCATCTCTAATAGGTCTACATCTTCCATACTATCACAGCCAGTGATACAGGTTTCTCGCTTTAATAGACAGTCAAAGAGTAACTGTCTTACTCTTCGTTCTTCAGGAGGCAAAGAAGATAAATACAGATCGGCTTCAAGAGCGACGTGCTCTCCCACGCTCTTCACTCCCTCGGGTGGACTATAGGCGCTTAGAAAGTATTCCTCGCAACGTCTCAGAAAACAAATGTATGCTTCATAGATCTCTTGTAAGATCGGAAAGGGTAATTGCTTCCCATCTTCCATAGCGGCTACTACTTTATGAGGCTTTGGAATGCTTACTATATCTATTAATCCATTGGCCATGGCAAGTTCAAACATTGGATTACCTAACACTCCATGTATCCAGTTTGCTCCTAATTCTACCTTGTCATCGCCTATAACAAATTTGAAAAACAACGTTTAGTTATTAATAAATGGATAAAATCGTTTCGACTGATGACTGAAATTATTTGATTTTTATGATTGTGTACACTGTTCACTGGTGTTTTTTTGTTGAGTTGTTATAATTGGGTAACGAAATCAGTAAAGTCGGAACGAACGATTAGCAATTAATTTGGAGCAACACAATGTATAAATGAAACAAGTTAGGTTAAGTGGCTCGTACCGATCTTTGTAGCAACAATTCGGCCGCCGATACGTCCCCGCGCTTCGACAATTAGAAAATCTGACTCGTTATTTTTCAGTAAGTGGTTCGCCGCCGATAAACCGGCCATTCCGGCTCCGATAATTAATATTTTGCACGAAATACGGTCATCCACTGTCTCTTCCGTGGACGCCGCCATGTTCGTTTTCAAATCGTCTGTCACTCCCACCAGAGTGTAACGGAGAGTCGAGAGAAACTCGTGCCAAAGATGCAGCGATGAGTTAGGAGATCTGACTCGGGCCGCCATTGGGGGCAAGTGCACGAGCCGCTCGTATTCTCCACCGACGAGCAGCACGGAACACCCGTGAGTAATCTCCAACAGAGATGGTTGATCTCCAACTCATCACTGTCCGTCCCCCGTGTTTTGTCGCTGTCGTGTAGCGTCCGGATACCGTAACTGGCCGAAACTGTTCGAGTGTAGAAACTGGTGGAAACGTCTGGTAAGTTTCTTTTCTTGAGACATGCATATTTGGTGATCGATCGAATCGCGTTTCGTACTGTTTCGTACTGTCTGGCACTGTCTGGTACTGTCCGGGCCAGTCCGGGCTAGTCCGGTCTGTCAGTTTGCGTGTTTTGCATAGTTTTGCGTCGTGACGTTGAGTCCAGCGATCGTTTCCTGACGTTTAGACATTTATCGTTGCAATATGTCGTTTTTAGGAGTAGCGAAACATTCGTATAACGTCGAGTCTGAAATTTCTGGTGTTACCGCGGCGTTGATCGTGTTCTAGGGGTCCGAGTAGTCCTCGGAACTCTCAGACGTTTTGAAGGTTATATACGCCAATTATAGTACTCCAGTTTAATAATAAACTGACAATTATATCGAAGTGGCAAAGGATTCTTTTTTGTATCGTCGATACTCCGCCTCTACTTCGATTCAGGTACATACTTTCTACGCTAAAACGTCAGTCTGCCACTGTAGTGAGTTCAAATCCATTTCAAAATGATGCTAGTCAAGCCTTTGTGTGGAGAATCCAGAAAACTTGTCTGTAAAGGACAAACTTAACATTAATTAATATTATTTTTGTCATCATTGTGGCTTTTAGATATGAATCGTGTCATTGGTTTAAGGACCATGGTTCGTATTTGTTTTTATATCTGGATGCATAATACCGAGGCATAATAGAGCGAGAGATTGTCTCTTCTTTGTTGCCTCGTTATGATTATATTTCTATGATTCTTTGTTTCTCGGATGGTTGAATTTGTAGCAAGGTCAAACTTCTCGTTATTATTCATCCTGTGAGTCAAGTTTGTCCTTATCAGACTTCCCAGGATATGGAATAGATACCGTTCATAGTACGGGTATATACAAGAATTTAACTCTTTGACGACGAGTGAAAAAAATTAACTACCAGGTTGGTCCCTTTCAGAATTATTCCAGTCGATTTGTGATTTTTAAACGTCAAACTGGACCGTCACGCTAGAAAAAAACGTCAAGAAGTTGACATGTGGATCAGCAATAATGAAGCAATTAATTCACACAACACGATATTCAATTATCTCATAGAAGAGTGCAAGTGCTTAGCACCTGGTGCCCGACTGTCTTATAAATTAAGAAATCGCTTGGAAAAGTTCAAAGTAGACACTCGTAAGCAAATCGTGTCCAGAACAAAGGATGGGTGTGCGCCACTGTTTATAGCATGTAAAAGGGGCCAGGTTGAAATCGTAGAGTATCTCATCACGGTGTGCCATGCGGACATCGAACAACGTGGGATGTACGAGGTGCCGGATGACAGATCGGTACACTTTGCTACGCCGCTGTGGTGTGCCGCGGTATCTCGCCAGTTAGCCGTCCTAAAATGTTTGATAGACCACGGAGCCGACGTGAACGCAGTGTCGGATTCTGGCTCCACGCCTGTCAGATCGGCATGTTTTATGACCTACTTGGGTACGTTTTCCCATCTTATGATTTTAACTTATTTATCTCTGTCTCCGAATATGACGTTTCAAAATACTATCTATAATATGCATACGCTAGAACGGAGTAGGACACGTTGTGCCAGAAATCTGGGGGTAGATGGGTCTAGGCCGACGATCAACCTAAATTTCACCACGCGAATGTTGCAATAGTTTTTCTTGGTAATCTCCGATATAAGTTATCGACGCTCGAATAATGTATTAGCTAAGCGTTGCCAAAAAGTAGCCCGAGGCTATGGATTTCTGTCTCTATACTTATATATGTATCCACACGTGCGCGCACATATACATCTATCCTCGATTAATCTTCAACCGTAATTGATATTTCAGACATTGTCTCGTTTCTCGTGCACAATGGTGCTGACATTATGAAGGCCAATTACAACGGCGGTTCATGCCTCATAAATTCCGTGCAGAGCGTGGAATTGTGCACTTTCATTCTGAATCACGGTGCTGACGTGAATGCGAGCGATATCCAAAATAAAACTGCTTTGCATTACGCCATTCAAGAACACAGGTTTCAAACTATGAAACTCCTACTGGAGCACAACGCCGATCCGTACCTGAAGTCCCGGTATAATGACGACGCTCTACAAACTGCTTGCATCAAAGGCGGCGTACTCGCTTTTCAATATCTGGGTATGATAACGCGTCTCATTATTCTTACCAGAATTTTACTTACGTAAATGTCAATTTGTCAAATACATTCAAAGAATCGCGAATAATTCAACCGTTCCGTAAAGTTAAATATTACGTACCGGTTCGCGGAAACGCAGAAAGCAGTCGATTGTTTGTCTGCAATTTGTTCCTGTCATTTTCAGTGGAACACGCGTCGTATACTCCGGAGCGGCTTGCCGATGCCAATGAACTAATGGGGTCAACTTATTTCGACGAGTTCAATGACACTCACACGGCCTTGAAATATTGGCGAACCGCCCTTGACATCAGATGCTCTAACACGATCGATGGCAAGCCCCTACCAAAGAGACCCGTGATGCCTAAGAGGGAGTATCTCCAAAACGCCACGGAAATTACCACTCTGACCGAGCTTAACGCCATAGCTCTCGACGTGGATGCGATGAGGATCCAGAGCCTGTTGATTTGCGAAAGGATTTTGGGGCCGCATCATAAGGATACCCTATTCAGACTTATGTTTCGAGGGGCGGCGTATGCCGATGCTCTAAGGTAATCGAACGGAGGGATATCGATTAGAGAAAAACGTGTCCGTCGTTGGTATCGGTAGGCAGTTAAGACGTTTTCATTGTTGCAGATACCAGCGCTGCATAGACCTATGGAGAAGGGTACTAAAGATCCGCATGGAGAAGGACTCGGTAAATTTCAGCGCGAAACGTTTTAACTCGCCAGAGATATCGATCGGAGGTAATGATTTGGCTAAGTTTTAGATTTTACATTTTTCAGATTTTGTTCACCGAAACTTGCTTCACCGCCCAAGCTCTCGTACGTCTCATGATCGACCTGGATACGAAAGTCCTGGAATTGGTGAGGGACCGTAACGCGCATTGTAGCGAACCCAGGTTTTGCGACGTCGTCGCGGTGTTTAAGTTGCTCACGTCTCAGTTGATGGAAGCAGGAGAATTATTTCAAGTACGTCAGTTTTTTTTCTTTTAGTTCGATACGCATCGCTACCGGTAATTATATAAAAGAATTCCGTGAAAATTCGTCCTTCCAGATACGTCCAGTTTACAAGAGACAGCAGGATAATTATGACTGCATTTTAAAATGCATCACGCATTTGATTTACCTACTGACGAGAACCGCCCAATCCCCGGAAGAGAAGGCCGAAATGGGCCAATTGGTTTACGAATTGGTTAGACAAAATCCGAGATCGGCCTCCTCGGGAGATACTCTTCTTCATTTCGCGATATCCGGGATGAACACCATCCACGGCGAGGACTTTGGTAGCGGGGACGTTCAGGTATCCTTCGGAAGTTTACGACTTCGAAAAACCATTCGTGACAAAGTGGACGGTGATCTTTCACTCGAGTAAAAAACTTTCGATTTACAGTATATTTTCCCTCACTTCGACGTGACGAAGCTGCTCCTGGAGTGTGGGGCTCACGTGAATGCCAGGAACGACGCGAAGTCTACTCCACTGCACGTTGCCAGTGACTTTCGTAATTTCCGGAAACCCGTGAGTGGATGATTAATTGCATTCTAGAATTGTAAGACAAAAGAACGCGAAAGGCATAATTGGGTTATCGACACGCAGTTGGTGCAGTTGCTGCTGGACCATGGTGCTCACTTGGACACTCCGAACAAGGCAGGGGACACTCCGATTCTTCTGCTCTCGTCAAATCCGGAGAACGACTTGAATCTCGTCAAGTACATTACTCTGCAGTGTCACGCTGCCCAGGCCATAAGGAAGTATGGAATTCGGTGCTCGGAATTGCCGGCGACTCTTCACCGCTTCTTGGAATATCACATGGACTAGGACGCGTGTCCGTCGGAGTTGCAAGTGGAGAGTGTGCTCCGCTGCGCGTCACACCGATTGCGAGATTACCGGGAGCTCGAGGTGGCTTTCAAGGTTCTCCCGAGAAAGTGAAACCCTGACGGTATTATTTACGAGTATTTGTCGGGGGGTATTTTCAATTTCTTGTCGAACAAATAAGGATCCGTTTCGAGAAGGTCAATTTTGGGGCGAAATATTTTTATCACTGACCCTGAATTAAAGTAACATTAAACCAATTGTAAATAATTCCTCGTGATATATAAATAATTAGGGGAAGGTTGCAGCACTAAACCGTACGGTAAAATTAGTTGAAGTTAGCGAATAACACACCTAGGGTATTAATATGGGATAGATATTGAAATCATATTTAAACGTGGTATTGGCAAATTTACTCCTGAAATTGCCGTTCTTACGTCGAACATCTTGAGAAAGAACGCATTAAATGTAAGTTTGGAATTTTGGGACGTATGAATGCGTGCCAGCGATTTATGCACTGTCTTTAAACGCTAGCAGCGAGTGGGAAGAGATTAGTTTATTCCATTTCTAACTAACGCGTTTGTTGTCTTTGTACATTATCAAAACTATTCATGGGATCGGTTAATATGTCTCAAGCGTTCGATCTTTTCAAAGTAAGCAGAAGTTATCGTAATTGTTTATATCTAATATTAATTAAATGAATCGTATCGAATCTATAGGTGTATTTCCTTTTAGAACATTTTGCTGCTAAAACCTAATAGAGAGAAGGTGCCATGGTAAACTGGCGGTCATGAGTGGCTTCCTAGTGTACATGGCGCAGCCTGGTGGTGGTAACGTAAACGTAACGTAAAAAACGAGCTCGAGAACTTATGTACTTGCGGTACCTGATGTATAATAAACTGTAAAATAATTAATGTAATAAAGCAACTTATTGAACAATAACAATGAGTACGTTTAATAAGTCGCGCATGTCTAGCAAACCCTCTATTCGCCTATTCCTGATCCTTGAAAATCACTCGTCGATCTAAGGTACGAAACTCGGTGCCACCTCCTCGATTGTCCTATGATCCTGTTAGAAATCGGAAATTTCAATCCCTGAAATTTTGTCCCGGGAGAATTCCGTGCTACCTCCTCGGTGGTTCTATGTTCCTGTTACAAAGCGCCAGAGATGGATCAGGATCATAGGACAACCGAGGAGGTGGCACCGAGTTTCGTGCCTTAGATCTACGAGTGATTTTCAAGGATCAGGAATAGGCGGTTGGAGGGTTTGCTAGACACACTCGTCTAATTAAACGTACTCATTGTTATTGTTCAATAAGTTGCTTTATTACATTAATTATTTTACAGTTTAGTATAGCTCAGGTACCGCAAGTACATACCTTTTTGAGCTGTCCTACGTAGAGGGTCACGTTACGTATACGAAGTTATACAAGTACATGATTATATTATTTCTTCGAAGTGAAGTAGCTAAATTAATTTCCGCAAATCCTCGCGCGGTAGAGACAATTGAGCAGTCTTAATCTTACAGTAGCCGAAAGTATAGGGCGAAGATACCAACGAGCCAGCTTAGCTTCGGAGTAACCGATACGCTTCGCACGTAAGCATCGACTACGTGAATTTTCCAGCCCATGTTCGCATGGGTGAAGGAATTGTAGTACACTATGTCCGGCCATGTGGAATTTGGCGTCACTTCCAGACTGCCTCCCTCTCCTGCATGAAAAGGTAAGGAGTCGAACAATGTGCAACCGTCTATCTCTATATGAAATTATTTAAAAAGACGCACGAACACCGTACCTTGCTCGCAGACTTGAACCAAAGTTCTGTTGAATTTCTTGAAACTTGGAAAGTCATCGTCCAGTCTCCTGTCTCGTCCAACGTGCTTGCTCAAGCAAAGTGGACCAACTAAAAGTAACGATTGTTCGATTTTTTGAAATATTCTTTAACGTTTCGAAGCATGTTTTTCGAACCTGCCGTAGGTCTTGGTCTTCCCCTTCTGGTAAACTCCACTCCTGCGAGAACTCGAATTTGAGCTTGCGCGTTATCGCTGAGTCTGTCGTAGCCACCGTGTGGCTCGTCGGTTATAATCAGGGGGTGGTACGCGTGCACATTGTGCGGGTTGTTTCCCCCGTGGACTCTGAAATTGTATGTCAAGCCTCGACGTAGATACAATTCCGGAATCAACTGTCCGTTAATGTACCAAGCGAGTCCGTTCGACGTGAGACCTGTAAAACGACGAAAGGCAGGATAAAATCATGGACCGAGCGATCCGCATTCATTACGTCCGTAACGTTCAAATTGACGTTTGGAAAGAATTTAAGAACAATTACCCGTTATCCCTTGGTACCCCTTTTTGCCCCCGGACGGGCCGATCGTTGCCCTGAACGTTCTGATGCTTCTGTCGAAGATCTCGGCCTTCTCCCACGGTTCCCTGGGACAACGATAATTGATTGTACACTTTTTCAGTAGTTTGGAGCGACCGTTTGAACGTTATTCGTATAATTACATACACGAAAATTTGATTGTCCTCCGTGAAGTCCACGCAGGTGTTCTCCGGCTCCTGTCGATTAAGCTCCAACCGTAAATCTCCTTTGGGGTAGATGTCGTGGAAATTTGGCTCGCCGTTCTCGTCTAGCCTACCCAGGGCCCAAACCACGTAAACGGGTCGGTCGGTAGGATATTCCTTATCCCCGGGGTCGGCTGAAATTAAAACGCCCTGGGTGTTGCAATTTCAAATTTCTTTCAGCGATCGTCGGAATTGCTCGACGAAGAAACGAGGTTTCTCGGACTCACAAGAATTGAGGGTCCGCCTATACGTAATAACGTTTATCCCATTTTGCCTGACGGCGGTGTAGAGTTGATTGCTATCCATGCCACCGACGAGTTCGTCCTTGCAGACACCTTTGTACTGGCCGAGAACTTTTCCACACTGTGCGGGAAGACGTCGGGAGATATTATTCGTACACCGGGGCATTTTCCAAGTAACTTACGGGCGCCTTTGCGGTGATATCGTAATCGGTCGCGTAGCCTCGAGTGCCGTCCATGTACGCGACCGTAACGTCGGCGCCCTCCATTTGGCTCTTCTCCTCGGACCCGGACAGACCGAAGGCCATGTACTCGTCCTCGGCTGTAAATCGCAATTACGGGCGGCAATTCTCGCGAAATGATTTGATCGCGATGTATCCAAAAATTTCACTTGCCAACTTGACCGGCGAGCTGGATCGTTATCTGCGGCCCGAAAATCTCCCAACTAGCTTGATACCTCTTGTGCAGCTGTATACAGTTTGGCAGCGATTCCGCGTGCTTTGTCACCTGTTTGAAACATTGCCAGAGATTCGGCTCGAGCGACTAACCGCAGAGAAAGAAATATTCCAACCGTGGTCGGAATCTAGAAAGGGCAGGCTTTACCTTGACGAGGGAAGGGGGCACGTTCAGGCCGTCCTGTACCACGACGGAACCGAAATTCGTTTTCGTGTCCACGTCGAAGATGCTGAGCCAGTCCACGTCGAATACCGTCATCTCGCCTGGCAGCTGGATAACGACGTCTTCGTGGTCGTAAGCCCGCAGGGGGTCCAAGCTGAACCGATCGTTTGGTTAATACCTTTCGCCGGGGCATTCGAGCATTTCGCAAAAGCGTCGAAAGGTAAATCGGCGTGTCCACGTACTAGCCATACTCATCCGGAACTTTGGTCCCCTTGCTGGAAGGCTGCGGGCCCAGGCCGACCCAAAAATACGTGCTCCTTCCCTGTCCGTCGTACACGAATTGCGGGATGCCGATCGTCTTCGAGTCGAGGATCACGATCGGATCCGACGAGACCCCGTGAGATCTTTTCGACAGCTGGGATATCTTCTGCGGCGCCGGGGGGTCGAACTCCTCGGGAATGTACACGTCTCCGAAGGTATTCTACGGAAGAACCGACGTCGTTCAGTCGTCCGACTCGTCCTCGACGCTCTCGGCGGTCGTCGAGCGCGATTACCTGACTCGCCAGATCGTAAATCGCGAACCACTTGATGTCCGTGATCTTCTTGTTCTCCGGTAGGGTCAAGGTAAAGTCCTTGTTGAAGTACCGGTCGAGCACGTTGGTCCTGGAGGAGAAACGACTCCGTTAGAAAATGGAAGGCCTCGCGATGCCACGGGATACCGACTTTCCCCACTCGTCGGGCACGATGAAGCCCTGGGGCCCGGGGCGATTGGACGCGCCGGCCCAGAAGAAGGTGTCGGCCCCGTTCCCGTCGTAGCTGAACGACGTCAGCAGCAGCGTGTACTCGTCGACCGCGTACACGTCGCCGGAGACCTGGTGGTGGTAGGCGTTCAGCTTCCCGAGGTACTTGCCCCTGTACTCCTCGTCCTTCTCGGCGCTGGCTGAGCAACAGACGGAGCCGTTAGCCGCCGCGAAAAAAGGGACTCTCGGTTCACCCGAGTGGTCGCGGTCGCTCACCTGGTCGCGAGCAGGCGAGAGCCGCGGCCGCCACCGCGACGACGAGCGCTCTCCCGACGATCCCGCTCTCTCCTGATGACGAGGCCATCCTATCGCGTCCGAGGCACTCGAGCCGGTCCGGCCACGAACGGCCGGCCGAGCGGAACTGACGCGGAACCGACGGGGGACCCCGGGGGACCGACGGGGGACCGACGGGGGACCGACGCGGCCGAGGAGAAAGTTCGAACCGTTACCCAGGCCTGGGCGCGGCTCCGCTCCCGAGGATCGATTAGGCGCGTTTGGTCGAACTCGGCAATTTCTCCTCCCGATCCTGGAGGGATCCGATCGCTCCGCGGAGGAGCGGCTCGCGCGACTCCTGCGGTTCGGCTCCGCCAGGAGGATCAGGGAGTTCCTGGCTCGCAAGTGCGCCCGAGTCTTTCCTTGCCGCTTCGGTTTGGATCGTGTCTCCGATCGCGTCGACGGGGAAACCTCGTCTTAACCTCGTCTGCGCGCTTTCCGCAGTGCCTCCGTGAACCTGCACCACCCGTTGGAGCCTATGGCGACTCCTTTGACGGCGGCCATCGACCGCGGCGACCCGCAGATTTTGTCGGGCCTCCTGGAGAAGGTGCCCACGGCGCTCGACTCGACGACCGCGCAACCCTGCGGGAGGACCGCGCTCATGTACGCCAGCCACCACTCCAGGAACCCGGACGTATTGCAGGTGCTCTTGAAGAAGGGCGCCGACCCCGTCAAGACCGACACGTGATTGAAAACGTTACATAGATCGAGGATTTTTGCTCCTTTCTGCATATATTGCCGCGAGACGTAAATTTCAGACGGGGCTGGACGGGTCTTGGATACGCCATAGCCGGCGAGAGGGTGAAAAATCTGCTCTTCCTGCTGGAGAACGGGCTTCCGGTCGACCAGCCGGATTTCGAAGGTCGCACGCCGTTGATGGTCGCAGTCGCGCTTTCAAATTTGGACGTCCTGAACGCTCTTCTCGAGCGAGGTGCCGACGTTAATGCAAAGGACGACGCGGGGTTTACCGCCCTGCAGCTGGCGATCCTTATGAAAAAGAGGGACGCGGCAATAGTCCTGACGGAAATGGGAAGCGACTTGGGTCATCCGAGTCCGGTTACCGGAATCTCGATCCGCGACCTTGCCGAGGGAATAATGCCGAAATCGTTGCCCGGCTTGCGGAGGAAGTAAGTTTATCGCGGCGTCGAGCACAATTTTCTCGGTAGATTTGTCGGCAATGCGGAGAATTTCTGGGATTTTCAAAACCGAAAGTCCGTGCCTCGTAGATTCTGGCTGGTCCACTCGTCGAATCGATCTATCGCGTCCGAGGTCATGGTTTCCTTCCATTGGTCGACCTTCCCGCTCCTCATAAATTGGCCCTCGGTTTCGATCAGTTTAAATTTTTTGTTCACCTCGACGACCTCCTGGTAATTTACCGAGGGGTTGGCCTTCATGCTGGCGAAGCTGAGGTGATCCGCCAGGACCTTCGCTTGATCCTGCGTCAAATTCTTCCCCAGAAATTCGGCCGTTTTTCCGATCACCCCTGGCAGGTCCTGAAAGAGATACGGCCTCGATAATTCTCGTCATTTCTATGGTCTTGCCGGAATAGCTCAAGCTTCGACCTACCGATTTCATATCCTCGTACTTCAGAAATAGCGAGTTTCGATCGTCTCGCCTCTTCCAGAATCCTAGCAGGTGGTCGAAAAACGGAGCGTAGCATACTGAAAATTGATTGACGCGTTAAGCGGTGATTTTTCGGAGGACGTAAAGGACTCGTTTAACGTGACTTACGTTTCTTCCCCAGGAAGAGCGCGCAAAAGTCCTCGAAAGTACCCCTGTAACCCTCGAGGAGCTTGCAGTGATGGAAGTACGAGATACAGGTGTCCTTGGCGTTCCTGGCGACGTAGATGATCTTCGGTCTCTTCTCCCCGGTCCTGATCTGCCGAGGTAGAAGCTCGAAAGGTAGATGAGTCTTCACGAACCGAGGACTCGGAAGGTCCTCCACGTATTTTACGCTATCCAAGACGTGCTCTCGAAGGTGCAGTCCCGGAGTCCTTGGAATTATCCTCGTGTAGTCGAACAATGACGAGAGTCTGTTAGAAAAAAAAAAAAAAAAAAAAAGAAGCAAAACGACGTCTTTGGATGCTTCACTTATCGATTGATTTTATTTAACACTCACTCGAGAAAGGGGAACCTCTCGTAAAGGACTCTTCTCGCTGCCTCGAAGTCCAGGTCGTTCGCGATGCACCACACCATTTCCTGGGTCCAGGTCGTGCCGGTTTTCGGGAAGCTGCAGACCCAGACGTCGTCGTCCCTGACCTCCATGTGCTCGATGGACTCCGAGAACGTCTTATAGTATTCCGGCAAACAGTATCCCTTGGCGGTAATGTATCCGGTACGAAAGTCATTGGTAAAAGTGTCTCTTAGCATCTTGTCCAAATCCGTCTCGGTGACGTCTACGAGCGGGGTCATCCTTTCTTCGAAATTAAAGCAGGCGTTCTATGCGTTCGGGATTTTTCTTTTCTACCGATCACCTGCAACGATCGGTGACGAGGGACGCTAAGATCGACTTGACGGATAACCGAGACGTTTTGGGCATAAAATTACTAAGAAACGCCACCAAGATGACGGATCGAACGGTCGTTTTCTCGTCTACGGTCTTGTGCAACTAATTTCCGAGATTTGGTGCCGAACCTCTTATAGGCTGCGAAGCCTTCTACGGTGATACGCGCGACCGTTTTTACGAGAATCGACAAGGTTAGCGTCGATCTTTCGTGGTTTTTCTTACTTGATCAGTTTTTCGCCCACACCGTGCTTCTCTACAATTTCTGCACCTTCTATCCGCATAAACATATTTCTACGAGATTTAAAATAAGTTAAATTATATGTATTCGATATCTTGGTTGCAGTATGGTCGAGATTAGCGGACGAGCGTCTAGCGAAAATTATAGATAAAAGTTTATAGTTTTTGTGACTTGACTAAATTTTCAAGGTAAAAATCTGACCTTCTGGAGGGAAGGGCTCGACAAGGAACTGAAAACGAACGAATAAGTATTGTTCTTTTTTGCACCTAAACAGACGCCTTCGAGAACACGATCTCGAAAGATATACGTACATCGTTTATTTTTATCCAAACGGTATAAAAAGGAAAAATATGGAAATATCGTATGCTAGAATAGCAAGTCAACGCAGTGGAACTTAAATACTAAAGGTAATAAAGAAAGTATTTTGTGTACTGTGATTCAGGTACTAAAACTACATTCTTGTCATTTTAAAGCACACCATTACGTTAAGAAACGTTCCCACGATCGATGTCTTCGGCTGTACCGCGATTACATAAGCGCGGTATCATCTTATTGTCCTTATCTGCGTTAGCCTCGAGTCATTTGTTAACATTGACCTAGATTCACTGATAAACTCCTCGTTTCTTTCCAGGAATTCTTCAAAGACAATGTCGGTAGTGAAATTCTTGTTCACTGGAAAAATGAAAACGATAACGCTTAAATATTTTCCCTTCAACGCCTGCGAAAACAGGTCGACGAGACAAATACAACGTCCGGTAAATTTTACGGAATAACAATTTCGGATAAAATTTTGATCGTCTAAAATTTCTAGACACCTGCGCGATATACTTTTACTTCGCCTCCGGGTTGTACAATAATTTGGGCAGGCTAGAACGTTAAAAAATGACAATTTTTTCAACGCGTTCGGATCGCTTTCCGGGACTTTCGAGGATTTTTTGTGATCAGTACTCGGAACGTCGGAACGTTTCCGAGAGCCACTTAATTTTTCTATTTTTATTCATTTACGGTTCCACGCAAAAGGGAATCGTTATAAGTTCGATATAACGCTAACGCTCTGCGACAAGTCGACCTGGCCCCTGAGGACTTTCTGTTGCAGCTTTTTGCAAAATATCGTGGCCATGAGCTTGTTGCGACGAGCCTCCTCCTGCTTCTCTCGTTGGCGTCGCTTAGACCGGACCTCGTTCAGCCCCGAGTAACGCCTCCGCAGTCTTTCCTTCATCTCCTCGTCGGTGATCCTCCTCTGTGCACCCGCTGCAACGAATTTATTTATCGTGCTTGCTTTCAACTCATTTGAAAGCATTTCTGACATTTATTTGTCATGAATTCATTAGTCGATATAAATTGCTGAGCGATCGCTCGAGGTGCCCCATTAGCCCGTTGTAATCAAAACCGACCTGTTTGCCTAGGTAATCTCGGGGACTTAACGACGTTCGAGGTGCTGGCCATGGCGAGCAGCTGAACGCGCTTCTCCTTCCTGAGCTGACGGAGTTGGCAGATCTCCGTCATGTATCGCCGGCGAGTCTCGGCGTTGTCGACGAAGCCGGGCTTGTTGGTCGCGAGGCAGTCCTGAAAAATTCATTTCGATTCGGTTTAGCGCATGTAATCGACGTCGAGTTCGAGCATCCGTCGATTGATTTAACCAAAGTACCTGAAGGCTCCCTTTGTGGCGCGGACCATTCGCGTTGGCAAGAAACTTCGAGTTCTCGCAGGAGCAGCCGCCACCTCGCGATCTGTCCGCATCGGGAAAAGACCCGTTAACGGATGTCTTCGAAGACTTGATTTCGCCGTTTTGAGTCCCCGAACCGTTGATGACGCTTGTCTTCTGCTCGCCGTTGTCAAAGGACAACTCGTAAGCAACCGGCTTCGGATACTGTGGCGTGCAGTCGCACGGCTTGCCGTTTCGACTGGCCGTGCCGCAGTTGCGACAGCATCTGCAGGATTTCTTCTCACTGGCGGATTCCGTTTTACCGGGTCGCCGGTTGGAGCCTCCGTTACGCTTGGAACAAACGTTTTCCGACGCGGTGTTCTTGGCGAGATAATTATCGGCAGAGCCGTTCGTTCTATTGATACATCCGCAATTCTCGTCGCAACCGCAGAGCGAATCGACGCCGTTCCTCCTCGGAAAATCTCCGTTCTTCTTCGTGTTGAGGTAGTACGGTCGCGTTTCGTTCGACTCGTGACACGGACATCCGCATCTTCTCGACAGTTGTCCACAGGTTGCGCGGTTCCTTCTCTCGATTCTGGACTCCTCCTTTCGTCTCGCCTCGCAGCTGCAATCCCGAGGACATCTGCAACTCTTGGCATTCGACTTACTCCTCTCGCAGCCGTACCACCCGGGTCTGTGTCCGTTCGCCAACTTCGTCCTTGATTCCTTGCTCTCGCAAGACTCGTTCTTACACTCTTGGCACTCGCACCCGGGGCCGACCGCCTTCGATTTGTCCACGTTCATCCGATTCTTCGCGTCTTTTTCCTTGACGTAGCCGTTTCTGGCATCCGCGAGGTCGCTGCCGTATTCGGGATAGGCGATCGCGCCCCGTCTGGCGGGCTGCGAAATGAAGGGTCTCTCGTTCGGCCGCTCGTCGTTTCGGTTCTGCGGTTGGCACCGATTCGGGCTATCCACCCGGTTTTCCCTCGGACAGGACTCGGAGTAGAGGTCCTGCACCTGCATCGAATGGTGCGCGCACACGGCTTGGGTTTCCCCTCGAGGTTGGCCCTGCATCTGGAGGTTGTACATTGGGGCGGGAGGCAAGGCGTACGCGCGACATCGACACGATGTCGGAGGGGCGTGCACGCAGGCCCCTCGATGCACCGGGCACGCCGCGTGCACGATCTGGGGCTGCATCAACGTCGGCGAGGAGGCTTGGGGCAACGTCTGTACGTAGATGTTGGTGAGCCTGACTCCGGGGTTCTCCATTTTGGACAGAGTTACGATCTCGCCGCCGCTCTTCGAGTGGGCGTTCGCCGTCTCGGTGGCGGTCTGCGTGTAGCTGTTGCGCTTGCCCAGCGGTCGGTCGCTCCGGGTGCTCGCGCTCGCCGGTGGGTGCTGCGTCGCCAGGTTCCGGTGGGAGGACCATCTCTCGCTCGCCGAGGCCTCGTCGTTCTCATCCGGGGCTTTCGGCATGGTTTCCGAGCTGAAACGGATGTGTTCAGGTATAGCAAGTTGAGGTTGAGTCGAAACGTACGTTAGCTCGATAAAGTCGCGCGAAAAGATACCTTGGCGTATCGTCCTCGCCATCCTGCCTTTGGGTAAGCGCAGAGAGGACCGTCAACGGCTTCTGCTTAAAGGACGCGCGTTTCGACTTCCGCGGCGAGATCTTCGGCTTCTCCGGCTTCTTTGGCTGCTCCAGTAATCTGGAAAAGGTTACGGTCGTTACTTGCATTTTCTGAATTCGTTCAGGGAGAGCGAAGGGAGGGCGTACTTTTTCAGATTGGACAAATGGCTGATTTCGTTGGTAATCCAGATCAGCTGATTCCTCTTCTCCATTTCCGCATAGCTGACGAGCTTCGTGTCCCCGGAGTCGGAACGGTCGCACCTTCTCGACTCCAATCTCCACTCCGGCGTGCCGGCGGAGTTCGGGAAAGGAATCGGCCAGACGAGACTGTTCGCGGCCTCGCTGGGGGTCTCCCGGCCGCGTCGATCGTCGACGACGGAGTCTAACGAGACCCCGTTCCGGTCGGACCGCGTGCTATTAGAAGAGGACCGCCCACAAGGCAGGTCGCACTTCTGCTTCAAGCAAAATATATTCTTCGTCTTACCGTTCTTGTAGCCTCGCTGAGGGACGAAGCACTCCGAGCTCTCGCTCTTGTTCGCTTCGGTGGGAGTGTTGCTCGAATGGCCGCGGTCCTCAGCTCTCAGCCCCATCCTGGCCTTTCTGCCGTCCATTTCGGTTCTGTCTGTCGTCTTGTCGTCGAACCTGTCGCTATTGGTGCTATCCAAATTGGCGACTTCCGGCGCTCCCGTTTCCTCGTCCTCCGAGGTCTTTTTCGCGCAGCCGCCCTTTTTCTTCTGCGGTCTCCACTCCTCGGAGGAGTCCGTGGTGTTTCCTTTCTTTGTTAGAGCCTGGATTATCTCCGCTCTGTAAACCTTCTTCCGGGCGTCGTCCGGATTCCACGGAATGTTCTCCTCCAGATCGCGCTCGATCTTGTCGTCGGTGTACTTTGCGGTTACGAGCCTCTTAATTACGTGGTGAATCAATCTCTTCTTGACTTGCTTGTCGCATTTGTTCGCGTCCACCAGACTCTTCAGAATGTTGACGCTTCGCTCCAGGTCCCTGACGAGACTGTCGGAGTCTCCCCAGAGTTTCTCGTCGATGCTCGAGCTGGTGTTCGGCAACGTGGAATTGGACCTCGTAGTATTGACGGACGACACCCGACTCGTGCTACCATTTGGGACATTCTCGTATACATGACCTGAAAGTAGAGTTCGCGGAATTCCGTTGGTTCCTCAAGAATCTAGAACGTCGGTTTATAAGTGGCAAGCTTACCTGGAAAATATTCAAAACTGTTGGCTCTGCCGGTAACGTTTTCGGTGTCCTCCACTTGAGGGGTCAACGGGGAAGAGCCGTTCCGAGAGGATTCGGAGCTACTCTTGCGAGTGGTGTTTCCGTCGCTCTGCGCGTCGTTTTCTGTACAAGGTCTCCGTGTCTCTTGTTCGTCGCTACTTTTTATGGAGTCGCGTACCTTGAACGTCCCCTTCGAATTTTTTAAAATCGATTGAGGAGACTTCTGCGACAAACTAGTTCCTCTCTTTGGTAATGGAGGTTTCTCCTCCTCGAGAACCGAGACTTGTACTCCAATGGATTCTCTGGTGTAAGCGCTCATGCTCGTTTGAATAACCTTATCACAGGTTACCGGCTTATTTACAACGGTTGCAATAGAAGACGTAGAATTAAAGAGCAATGGTAATAAAGCTCTGTTCTTATCTTTACTATGTAAATTGAGGTCGCTTTGACTTCGCTTTAAAGATATCTTGGAAGGGGACAAAGGCAAAATGTGCATGGATGAGCTTTTCTTCAACGGAGAAGTGCACGGATTCGAATTTCCTTGCGAGCTCTGCTTAGGTTTACATCTTTTCCCTACCGTAGCATATTTTATAGCAGGTACTTTAAATACATGAGACGACGTGGGTGTATCGGAGATTCGATCGATCTTTTTCTCTTTTTCGTTACTTTTCTTTTCTTCCGATCTGATGTCATCACCCGTAATAATTCCAGTCACATGGTTTTTGACGATAGGCGTGATTTCCACTTCGCTCTCGGAACCTGAGATGTTCCCTACCAGAGGTGTGGAAATAGCTTTAGGTTTTGCAGACGATTTAAGACCCGTCGCAACGGCTGTCCCTTTCCCCGAAGTCCCTGACTCCGTCGTGCCTTCGGGATCTAATCGGAGAGCCACGGAGCGGCCAGTTGCAAGAGCGATGCGCTCTATGGTACTCAAATTACTTGACCTTTCTTTACTTTGGGATATCGTGTTAAAATATCCGACATCTGCCCCGCTATCCCACTCGAGCGGTTTATGCGAGGCGATGCTGGATGTCGGGGATTGTGCCTTCTGCTCTGCAGAATCCGTAACGCCGTCGCGATTTTCACGTTTCTCCTCGACGATCGTCTCGTGTTTCAATTCGGGAGAAGGAGATCTTGGATTCGGTAACGATCGCACGTACACGGTCGAACTTTCCGCGCCGGACGATTGCCCGATCAGCGGTGGCCTTACCCATCTCCTCCGCTCTCTTGGAACGTAACCTCTGGCATTGCAATCCTGGCTGACGTGGCTCGGCCTCTTTGTATTCGCTTCAGGATTTAATTCATAAATGCTATAGTAATGCTTTGGCCCATCGGGGTTCGTACTCGTCACGGGCAAAGAGAAGAACTGGTCCAAGTTTGTACTCTGAGAATACTTCCTGTAGTACTGCATGACCGCCGACGAAAGGGATCTATCGGTGACATTGGTCATGGGCTTGAATACCATGGATGCTGCTTCGGAATATTGCAGAGGGATAGAACCGGATGCACCGGGTGACCGATCTCCATCCTCCACCAGTCGGTATCTCGGATGTTCCTTCGCGGTCTCCAGGTCTTTCAATCGGTCCTCACAGCTCGACTCCGAATCGTATTCCATGGTCGCGATGCAAAGCGCACGGCCAATTTTTACACAGCCTGGCGACAGCGTCCTTCGGAATTCGTTACGACAAACCTGAGCGTGCGAACATTTTCTGGACCAGGAATTTCACTCATGGGGCTCTCACGCGAAAGAATGTGCCCGCTCCCTGCATGTTTCTCAATTTTATCGCGGCAGGCTTCCTCGAAACGCGTTACGGCAGGTTATGTCTACGCGTTACGCGTTTGCCGTTAATTATCTTCACCGACGTGCAATGCAATGCTCCGCAATTAAATGTAAATTGCAAGATTTACCGTCTGCAGAATCGAGGTCTTTCTTCTCTTTTTTTAACAATCGTGCAAAAAAATACCAATTATTGTTTACATGTTTAAATAACCTAAATAAATGCGCTTCCCTCGAAGCCTCTGGGCGGGCTTTCAAATAGCTCGATTGGTCATTTCCGTTGTAGCCAGCCAATCGATGAGCCCTGGACGCCTAGCGGCCGCGTGTTCAACCGTTCCATGGTTCGTTCGAATCCGCTCTTGATAAGTGTGTACACGACGGGTCAGACGTTACCTACCGATTCCAACCTAAAAGTTTTTTATTCTCGTGAAGCCGGGTCTACGACAGCACGGATATATTACATCGATCAAAAGTCAGGTATGTTTCTACTCGAATTGGTTAAATTTTCTGAGGTTGAATATTTCTACAGAGTGCGTGCACTCGATTAAGCCGGTATACCTTCGAAAAGTTGCGTTAAAAATTCATTACCAGCCGAGCGAATTCTCGGTGGTACATATTTGAAAATCGGGCAGCAAAGAGAATTAGTGGCGACGTCGATCTGAATTATTGCGACATTACCTTCACAGGGATAAAGGGGGCTGATAAATTGTCGCTTAGCAACGTTTTCTCGATTCCTCCGGAAATTGCATTTCTCTTGGCGAACTCGGTCCGCCGTGCCGATGATAAATTACGCAAGTAGGTACACAAAAGGTGACGCTTTCCATTACCGGCAGTGAATCCATCATATTTGGACTCCTCCGAGTGGAGTTTGGATTTCTTGCCGTCGTTTTCTAATAAGACCTCCCAAGCGTCACTTGATACAAAAATAAGACGTTTTCCTAAAGTTATTACCTTCGTCCGAGGTTTCCAGCCAATTCTTTCGACTCTTCGCTCTTGTTCATTTGACCGGGTCGTGTCTGCAAACATTGTACATTTCTTGCAATAATATATTAACGTTGGACGTTTCCGAAACAATTGCAACGCTCGTTGCATCGTATAGAAAATCCAGCTATTCAAATAACGTTTTATTAGGTAATCGATTATTCAATTAAGGATTCTATCTAGCGTTTACGCGGTAACTATTCGGGTCGATTAACAAACGATTCGAATAAGTAAATCGTATCGCTACTGGCAGTATCGCGACGAGTTTCCCCCGAAAAGAGAGTTCGAAAACTGGCGTCACTTTTTCGAGATAAAAAATAGTACGTCTTATCGTTACGCGGGAAACTTTTTTTTTTCACTTTTTAAAGTCCAACCGTCGGTATACGGGGGATGCATTCGATAATGGTAATAATTTTCCGTATACACGGTACGTTCTACACCTTGGTAAGGCTCTACCTGAAAAGTGCGCTATAGAGCCGAAGATCGGCGAAGTATTCATCTTTCCGGGTAGTCGAGACGCGTTCGTCCCTTACTTATTGCATTTTCATTCGACCGTCGTTTCCTCCGGCGCGAAGATTCCATCGCGACGCGGAGCACCGAATAGCACCGGCCGCTCGTCGCGCAACTAAAAGTTCAGCCCTATTCCCGGAGCTCGTCGTTTGCCCCGATCCTTACAACTTCCGAGAGCCGGAATTCCTCCTTACCCTAGGCGAGTGAATTAGTTGCCATTGAATCGACACTTGGAAAATAACCGTCCAATCGATGCGGAGGTTCGCGGGCTCGAGGAAGGAGTCCCTCGCGAAACGACTAAGCTCTCGAAACGAAAGCCCGACGGCTCCTCGGGGCTTAAAGTCGATCGGCCCTGGAAGACCTCGAGTCCGGAGCCTCGGGGCGACCGGTGGCGCGAGTCCTGCCAGCAGGAACCGCGTCGAGGAGTCCCGGTCCGGCCGACGTCCCGCAGGAGATCCGGAGATGCCGCCGCCACGCGGTACTAACTCGCCTCCTCGGGAGGAGACCCGGTGTCGTCGGTCTGCGTGGCGGCGTCCCTGCCTCACGTGGGGCTGGTCCCCCCGGTCTCCCAGGGCAGCGGGGGCGGCGTGTTGGCCAGCGACGAGGAGGAGCGCCTCGCCACGGAGCACCGCTCCAGGCCTGCGAAAAGTCGCGGGTTAGAGAGGCGCGCTCGCCCTCCTCGAGGGACGCTCGAGGGACGCTCACCCGACAGGTCCAGTCCGCCGATGCTGCAGACGTCCAGGCCGCCGGTGCTGGTCGCGCAGCAGTGTCGCCTGGGTCCCAGGGGCTTCGGTCGGCACAGAATCTGGAACGAGGACGAAGCCGAAGGGATGGAGGACTCGAGTTCTCGAACGGGGTGGACGAGTCTCACCTTCGTGTACAGCAGCTCCCTGGAGATCCGGCGGAAGTGGTTGTTGAGCAGCCAGTAGAGGAAGGGGTTCCAGAAGCTGTTGGAGAGGGCCAGCCACGTTGCCAGGAAGTCGAGGAACGGAGGGGGCTTGCTTCCGGTGCAGGCCGCCACCACTTCCTGGATGGTCCACGGCGTGACCATGACGATGAAGCAGAGGCTCATCGCCGCCATTGTCCTCGAGGCCGCGGTCGACAGTCGCCTCTCGTGGGCCACCAGCTGCAACGGATCGACCGGAGATCGAGCGGAGATCGAGCGGAAATCGACGCGATCCGAGAGGGTCGAGCTCTCCGTTCGGGACACAAATCGCCGATCGAGTTTGTCCCTCGGCTCCGGTTTTTCCTTTCCTTTTCTCGGAGAACTCGTCCACCTCGAGACGCTCCAAGGATTTCTCCGACTCGAGGAACTCGATCGTCGCTGGCGACTTTGCTCAAAAACTCGGAAATAACGTGAAATATTTTACCGAGTAACTTTTTTCGTTCGTCCTCTCGACGAATCCTCTCGCCGACCGCGGCGAGACCGAGTAATTCCGCGACGGGATCGCTCGACTCGCCTTGATCCCCTTTCGCGCTCACCCCGCTTTCCGACGCTTTCGAGCAAACCCGCGCGACTCGAGGCGCCTCCGTAATCGCGGTTTGGGTGGCTCGCCGCGGTCAGGAGGGCGAGTCAAGTCCGTCGACGTAAACGCGGTCGCGAGATCGGGTCGCCGTCGACTTCCGAGGGGTCTTCCGAAAGGTAGAATAGCACCGTCCGTTCCTGAAAAATGTTGCAGGAGAGGGACCGCGCGTCGGGTGAGCTTTGAAGTCCCAAACATTGGATGACGATCGCATCGCTATTCCAATTTCGAGAGCCTCGTAACTCGGCGGCTTCCCCGAAAGGAGGCAAAGGCGAATCGTCTCGTCGCTCGTAATGGGGAAAATAAATGACTCCTCGCGAGTCTCGTCAGAAATTCCGGCGGGGCTTCGAATATCCGCGAGCGTTTCCTTGGGTAAAGGCGGGGAGAACTCGCAAGTTTCGGGAGCGGTAAAACCCGCTAATGGACCGCCGCGGTAAAGATTCCTCTTCTCCGGGAAAGGAAAAACCGAGCAAAAGGAGGAGGAGCGTTCTTCCGATACCGGGTTACCGGCGCGAGGGAGAGATAACTCGGCATCGAAATATGAAGGCGAGCCATTAGCATGCGGAGAGCTTACCCCGAAAGGGTGAACCTACAAGACAAACTACCCTCGCGGACATTAGCATCGCCGAGATTTATCGAGCGAACTTTGCCGTCTCTCCTCTCGTCTCACCTCTCGGCCCCGATTTACTTCGACCGGGAAAGTCCTTCCTCCCTCTCGAGAGGATCTCCGTTCTTCCCCCGTTACATCCCGAGGGCGCTTTATGCAAAGCCAGAACCGTGTTTCGGTATTTAGCGTGCGCCCCGTTATTGGCCTTCGGGCCGTCCACGGGGAATAAAAAGAAGAACTCCTTTCCTCGGGGTAAGGGAGAAAAGGGAAATCGAGCACAAACTAGCGGTCGAGAGTCGGGATGGCTCGGGAGCAAGGGGGCCCGGGCTCGCATTCGATAAAGTGCCCCTCCCTCGGGAGGAGCCTCCCGGCCGGGGAAAACCCTCGGATATTTATTTTACGTCCTCCGGGAAACTCGATTTCCACGCCGACCGATGCTCGCCGCTTTATGTACAAGCGGTCACGATTGCCCCCTACCCGCTGCGAGGGATTTATTCTCGCGGGGGAACGCGGGGAAACGCGGGGAAAACCGGGGAAAACCGGGGAAAACCGGGGAAAAGCGGCCCCGAACTGGAGCCGCTCGGACGACGATTAACGTTCGGTGCAATCGACGCGCGATAATCGCATCGAGGAGTCGAGAGGCTCGCGGAATTGGACGTTCGACGAGAGCGCGGAGGGACCTTTGAAAGATGAATCCGCCAATTACTCGAGTTGCCGGATACAAGGGCGATACGCGTCCGCTGCGGCGTTTCCGCGCGGAACCGCGTGCATTAAAATGCAAACGGTACGGCGCCTCGCGGGGGCCTTTTCACCGTTTACCCCTTTTACCCCCTTCGCCCCGCTCGCGGCGGAAGGGCGGAAGGGCGGAAGGGCGGGAGACAAAAGGTCGAGAATTCCTCGGGACGAGGGGAGATAATCATTATTCTAAATCAACGGACGCGTTTCACGAGTCGTTGCGCGCCGACCCTTAAACCGCACTCGAGGGGTTTCTTTTGATTCGTTCCCCTCTCGCTCCAAATAACGCATTCAAGGAGAACGCCGCGTTTTGCCGTCCCTTCGATCCTCGGGACGCCTCGGTGCTTTCCGGGCCTCCGTCGCGGCCGCGTCCTTTCCGTCTCGTTCCCGCTCCGGAGACGACGCGATGCTCGATCGAGCGGAGAAATACACGCGGTCGACTCGACCGAGACTCCGGAAGCTCGTTATCGCGCGGACAAAAGGAAGGAGCGACCGAAGGGCCACTGGACGAGTCCGACCGTTCTCGCCCCGGCGATCGCCTCGTGGCCCACTTCCGCCCACCCTCCTGTCTTCCGGTCCAAAGTCTTCCTCTTCTCGAGCAACGACGATTTCGCGTAGCGGGGTCCGAAATTACATTTTTCAGGGAAAAGGAGCGCGTGCCCTTCCGTCGGATTTTCCGGGGCGTCCAAGGGGAGGCGCTCCCTTTGGCTCGTTAAGCAAGAACGAGGAAACGATCGGAGCTTTTTCCGGCTTTGTTCGGCCCGGCGGCGTGGGGTCGGCACGGCCGAGTGGCGAACAAGTGGAATTAATGACGTTTCCGGAAGTACGAGGGGCACTTCCGGTGCTTTCTGTCGGCCCGATAAATTCCTGGAGCGAATAACTCGCCGGCCAAATACCCTGCCCCGCCGAATCGACTCCGAAATCGGTGGACGAGCTCGAAAAAGAGACGAATGGAAATAAAAACTCCCGACCCGTCGACGAACTCGTGGCCGCGCTTTCAAAAATCGTCGCTGACGGTAATGTCTCGTTTGAAAAGAAAAAATGCGCCATCGATCCCTCGAGCGCATGGATTCGAGGGAGCGGTTCGAGCGCGGAATTGCGCGATCGGAAGTTAGGTGGAT